TGAATGGACCTCGGTCCCCACCGAATGTGATTTCAACTTTGTTATGTAGACCAAGGAAGTCATGGCCTAGCAGCAGGTCAGCACATAGATTGGGTACTACCAATAGTTTGTTTTTTTTGTAAACGGTACCCCTGTAACCGATTGATGCGTAGCAGTAGCCTCTAGTTGAACACGTCGGAGAGGTAGATGCCATGGTAATCACAGAATTGTTAGCGTATATCTTCCAGCCATGTTTACCAACCACCAAAGGAAATATATAACTGCTCGAACTTCCTGTGTCTATGAGGGCCTGAGGCGATATCCCGTTCACCTTTATGCTGGTCACCGTGCGAGACAAGCAGTTCGGGGCCCCAGCAGTCAACAGGAAAGATAAGGCGGAATCCATCGTGCAATTTGAGTGACTCTTTACAGATTTGGATCGACGAACACGCTGAAAATGGCCTGTTTTGCAAACTGCTTCTCTTGCGGGGCATTTTGACCGTGGATGTCTGGAACGACCGCATAAGTAACATATCTGAGAATTGATTGGCAAGAGACGCAGAGGTGTGGAATCAGGGGAGATTGAATGTGAAGGGGTAACTGTAGATATCTGCAAAGGTGCTGCAGCCGCAGGAGATGACATCGCCTGGTTATGTGAGTATGACAGCTTGTTTGTGGGCCAGTTCGTGTGCTTCATCGAGAGTGAGTTCGTTTTGAGCCAGAAGTCTTTCTCTGATGGTAGTAGACTGAAGTCCGTTGATTAGAGCATCGCGTACGCTTTCGTTTTGATGGTCAATGGCGGACACCGCCTTGAAATCACAATTTTTGGCCAAGGATTTAAGCCTCTGAACAAACTGATGAACATCTTGACTGGTGTCTTGTTTGTAGAAGATGGCGAGCATAAATTATATTCTTAGGACGAACGTACAACTTTTCAAGTGTACTGATAGCCGATTCGTAATCTGGATAGTCAGCGATATAAACGTATACAGGTGCATCCACAAAATGGATCAGAGTTTCGAGTTTATTTAGATTGGGCGATTTGACAGTGCCCAGAAACGTTTGGAAGGTTTGGAACCAATGATTCCAACGCGTTGTTGCGTCTGGAGAATTAGGATATGTGTCGAAACACTTGGATCGTAGCAACGGTTCCATTGTATTCTTAGACAAGTAAATTGTTACGAATAGAATATCGATTCTGATTGAGCGCGAGAACAAGAATGAATGGCGTAGAATGAATAGCGCTTTACTTGTCTAAGAATAGACGTACATAAGCTGAAAATGAAGGCGAAAGCATGGTTAATACCAAACGATAATGTGGGCACAAAGGATATTCATGACAGGACCCCGAGACGAGGCACGTCAGCAGTTGGAAGAACCGGCAGGCGTGGCGCTTTCGCTCTCTCAGTGGCGCGCGTGCATCAATGTTTCAATATATAGCTTCTTCTTCCGACCTTCTCCAGTGAAAGGTTCACTGACACCCTTGTATTGGCTCAGGGGTTAGAGCACAAATTTACTCAACAGAAGTTCTGCGGTTCGAGTCCGACTACTGCATCTCGACTTCTGTCTAGGCTTGGGCAATCTGGCAGTATCCCAGCTCTCGCACTTCCTTCAGGTGGAATGGCAGTTAGACACCGAAAGGTTGCTACAGCTGGATGATTCTCTTATCTTTATTATCTGTATTGACGCAATAATGATATCAACTACCATCTCCAGTGCGTAGCTGGCTACCCCTACCCCTACAAATCATGGGAGAACGAAACTGTTACAGCTAAAGGTGATGGCGATGGAGAAATTGGCAGACCAACGTTTGTACATTCACCTAGGGCACAACGATAGGCACGGTTAAACCAATTGAGAAAAGGTTCACCGAGTGTGTAACTGGAGAATAAACAGGCGGATACCGCGAAGAACTCCTGTAAACTTTTCGGCCAATTTAAAGCGGTTTTTCGAGAGCTAACTTGCCCGCGTATAGGTAGGTATTGTTAGCATTCTCACTTATCAGCAACACGAACGAAGAGTAGCAGTGCTTTCTTGCCGTTCAGTCACTCCGGATTGTTCAAGCAGCCATGTGGTAGAAAGAAGGTGGGATGGAGATAAGCTTACTACTGGCATATCACAAACGCTTGAAGTGCCTATACCAACAATAGTCAGTAAAACAAACTTAACAGAAATTGACAGCTGAAGAGCCAGTGATGCCGGTTAAACACCATTTCTTCTAGTGCCTCTAGGTTCTCGTAGGCCCCATCTTGAAAAGCGGACTTTAACAGTGGCTCTTTTTTCTACCAGATCACATTTCATGTATCTACTTCTAATTAAGCACAAAAGGCGTTCTTTTTGGTAAACGGTAATTCGATATGCGAGGTACATGATCGGAGAGTGTCGGCTTAAAACATGTCTGTCGGACGCAGAAGGTTGTGTCGATAGAATTACTTTGGAACGTGTGATCGGGTTGTAGTGAGATTCTAAGTGGAGTGGAATAAGAATATAAAAAAAACTGGGGGTGGTGGTGGGCAAAGGGACCAGGGTCAGTGAACTCGGCCATCACGATCCGGAACATGAGTTGCATAATTTGCGAGTTTCAAAAAAAAACACTGACTTGGTCAATGGTAACCGAGAGAGCAAGCCATTCCTGTTTATGGTCGTCGAAGTCATGAAAGGTGAGTCATTTGGAAGTGGAGCCAGACTGGAGAATTAGCCAGCATTCAAAAGGGAACAAGCGAGGATTCATCTTCGCCATTGGAGAGGTAAAAAAAAATGTGGCGAAAAAAAGGCCTCATTGAGTAGAAGATAAGGTTGACAAAAGAGACGGATAATTGTGTATGTACAAATCAAGCGAGGACGGTAGAAAGAGCGGCCGTAAGCGCGTCTAGAACTGGAATCGGCTGAGATAGCTGATTTCGGAGCTTTGGGTTTTGCCTAGGAAAGGGTTGGATAGATAAAGGGGAATAATCATGGTAATTGCGTTGGCAATCCGATTCAGGGCTTAGGGTGGCAGTCACGCATGGTTTCTACGGGTTGGATGGTGATAGCTTGTCGGACAGTGGTGTTGCCTGCTATTTGTCAATTTGAGAGCTTTGAACGCTCAGTCGCACAACCTAGTTGTCGGCTTGTTTACCGATTACGGATTTTCGACCACAATTTCAAGCTTGCCGGACAAACCGGCAACATGATCTTAACTCGCGTGGGATTATCACTTGCTCCTGTTGTATCGTAGGTGACCGTCCATTGGTTACGCCTGCACCGAACAAGCCAGACTACGCGATAAGGAAAAGACACGGTTGTGTTGTCCATACAAAACATAGAACTTCTGTGTACGATGACTAAATGGCCAATTATCGTCGTTCCCTTGTTCGTTCCGTACAGCCAGTGGCGGTGTTGCGGTCGTGCACACTTTCAGCCCCACTCCGCTGGTTGTATGTCGCTAAGCCGTGTTTGGTTAGTTCCGCCAACGCACCTGCTATCCGGAACGTGAGGTACTGATGATGACCTTGGAGATGCATCATTCTCTGCACATGTGCCTTTTTTTGTCTGGGCGCGTCCTAACAAGTTCTAAGATAACTGATGATTGTGACCTCAGCAACACTCGTCTGCTAATATTGACTTTCCGAAAATTCCCATTTATAATAAGAACACAGATGGGTTGACGAACATGTTTTCGGCAAGGTCTTTTCAAGTCATACAATTGCAAAGGTTAAGAGAGCGGTATTTAACATATTTGAATGAGTATGGTGTAAATGGACAGGGAATCGAGTGAGATGACACTGGCTACCTATCAAAGAACCATTAGTTCAGGTCGCCAATAGGATGACTTGAGCTAGTCAGTTCGGGGGGTGTTGTAGTTGTGTGTTCAGCACACGATGCATGTGTGGGGGGAGGTGAGTTGGACCATGGTAAGTACAACACACGAACAAAGCGTTTTTGCCGACAAAGGATCGGGTCGCGATGTCGTATGGCGATAGCTTCAGCCACTGCAATTGTGCGCTGCTGTACTGATCTGGGTTGGTTAGCCGGGGCCTTGTAAACAACGCTGAAACTTTGGCTGGGTATCACGTTGTGTGCAGTGTCGGCTAAATGTTGTACTACGGAACTGGTTATCGTCCTCCTGGTTCCAGAAGCTAGCCAGGGTGGATTGTGTTCCTTCATTCTTTGGCTGAGTTGCCTAGTCGTGCGTCCGATGTATTCCGCTGCACAGCAGCAAGAGAATGAGTAAACTAACATATTTTGGGCGTGGACCGGCACTCTATCCTTGAGATTAACGGGGCACAATCGTTTGTAATCAATCGTTTACAAGGCCCCGGCTAACCAACCCAGATCAGTACAGCAGCGCACAATTGCAGTGGCTGAAGCTATCGCCATACGACATCGCGACCCGATCCTTTGTCGGCAAAAACGCTTTGTTCGTGTGTTGTACTTACCATGGTCCAACTCACCTCCCCCCACACATGCATCGTGTGCTGAACACACAACTACAACACCCCCCGAACTGACTAGCTCAAGTCATCCTATTGGCGACCTGAACTAATGGTTCTTTGATAGGTAGCCAGTGTCATCTCACTCGATTCCCTGTCCATTTACACCATACTCATTCAAATATGTTAAATATTGACTTTGGCTCTTGCTCTTGTACGACAGTGAATCGGCAGTGTTCTCATCTGATGTTGCTGTCAGTGATAATGGTGATGGTGATTCGTGCAGGTTAGAATGTGGAAGACTTGAATCAGTTGTTTATGTCTGCTGATTGATGTATATTTTCTCTGTTGCACTATTTTAGCCATGCAAACCCCACTCACTGATGTATTACTGTGTTCTGAGTTCAAGGATGTTTACCCTCCCTCCGAAGATTCCTTCTTGTTTCTGGATGCTCTGGAAGCTGACATCAATTTTTTAAAATCGGTCCAACCCTGTGTATCCCTTGAAGTTGGTAGCGGAAGTGGTATAATCAGCACTTTCCTGTGTAATGCCAATCTTGGTGTTTGCTTCCACATCTGCACCGATGTGTGCCCTACTGTATGCAGATTTGATCGATTGGGTGTAACTAGCTGATTGACTCCCTAGGCTTGCATTGCAACGAAGCGTGTGTTGGAAACAAACCTCGTTCCGGCAATTCTTCCGGTCGATTCCGTTCAGTGTTCACTTACGACGCCGTTGACCGACAGATTGGCATCCAGCGTCGATATAGTGTTGTTCAACCCCCCATACGTCCCAACTTCTGCTGAAGAGCATAAAGCATCTGTATCTACCATTGCGTCCACTTGGTCTGGGGGCCTTAAGGGAAGGCAGGTAAGTTTATCAAACTTTTTAGTAGCTCGGTATCTATGCAGGTTTTGCCATGCTCAGGATTTAATGAGTTACACTGAAGATTCGCGATACCAGATCCGTTCCATTTTTTCGTTCAGTATTACTTATCTTGACTGTCTGTTTAACTTGCAATCTTTTGGAGGCTGGATTGAGTCTTTGAGGTGTGACTAATATCCGACGTGGTTCGTCCTCTCTAAAGCCCATAACCCATTCACACCCTTTAGTCCGTCGAAACCCTTTTTCTTTCTTACGGTTAAGTGTTTGAGTTAGACTTCGATTGGAGCTCTTTTTGTTTTCTTTTCTAGGCTTGAGCACCTAAATGATAAAGCCGGTAAACCTGCAAAGTTCCCCAGTTGTTGTACTGTGCTCGGTCTCCGTGATTATCATGTCCCATGTAGAGGATTTGCTCGAGGCAGCTCAGTGGTGAATGAGCGGACTCACTGAATGGAGGTCCCAGTTCGAACCCGGCTCTTGAGACTGGACTGCCCCTGTCCAGGCTTGGGTAACCTGACAGTATCTCAGCCCCCGTACTTTCTCCGAGTGGTATGACAGCTAAACACTGAAAGAGTAGTACAGCTGTACTATCACTATATATTATTTACAAAGGGTGAGGATGAAGAATTAGTGCCAAAAAATTGGATGCAAGATGTGTACGAAGGGGGGTGTCACATTAATTCATCTATGGCCAACTTTTCCCTTGTGTGCAAAAAATCCGGGCGGTCTGACTAACAACATGCGCGAAAAATTTTGGAGTTTCACAATGGTTGGTATACTTCCTAAAACGGTGGATTAACTTTCCACCTCAGAAGTTCGTGCGACCTCAACTTCCGTTGGTTTGCTTTGATGTTGGATCATATAATTTCCTCTGCTATGATTTTGAACTACGTCTCAGTTTGTGCGATCTTTCTGTGTGGCTAATTCTGTTATACATTCCAATATTCCGTATGCGACCATAAGCGTGGTGTTTCGAGAGATCCCATGACATTATGCTCCATACCTTTTTAAATAGTCTGAAAATGGTGGTCAGAATTCGCCAGTCACCCCCTACAGTTAGTCCATTATTGCTTTAGTTTAGTTCACCTTCTCTGCATGTGATTAAAAGAATACAACTATTGTCTTATATAATTTCTTGCCGCCTACGGTAGCAGTTGATTTTATTGCGACTAAACTTGTTGGTATCCATTCACCTTATTTAGGTCATTGATGCTTTCCTCGTCCAAGCGGTCAAACTGCTATCCCCAAGAGGTTGTATATATCTCTTGCTATCGGATGATAACTGTCCGTCAGAAGTTCACCGTCTCGTGCATACCCTATCCTACGGTAGGTTACAGCCATCGGTTATTTTACGACGTCGAGCTCAAAACGAATCTCTCGGAATTTACCGTTACTCAGCTGCTTGTTTAACAGGATGATACTTTTTGTAACTGTCGACATGCCAAAATTTTACTCCACAACTACACAATATGCGGACACTTGTTCAACTGAATTCACTCATTAGTCTGTGATTGTTCACTCATTTCAGTGTTTCGGAGCTTCTTGGGTTCAACTGTCGCATCGTTTTCCTATTCAGTGTCAAGAAATATAAATACTAGAACTTCCATTTCGGTCCAGGTATCTCGGGTCTTTGAAACAGATGGATGTTCCACTTCGCGTGAGTCTTCGAATTCGATGTAAACCTGAAGCAAAAACGTCAACGGCAAAACTCTCAGAGGCCCGTTGCTAGTCATCAGCTGGCCAATGCATGTTAGTATTATAACCAGCACAGGCATCTCATTAAACAGTGAGGTACTGATGTCACCCGTCAATTCCTGTCATTTTATCGCAATCCCCTGCACATCATATTCTCTGGGGACTGCCCGGGACGAATCGTTTTGGTTGTTCGCGAATCGCGTACAATTACGGTTCAGCCAGAATATAAAGTTGACAGAGACTCGGTAACTGCACTTACCTGGTGAGCCCCAAGAAAGACGTAACCGGTCGTGGGTTATCGAAGCATTTTCAGCAATATAATGAAAAGTGTGGTCCGTCAAGGTTCATCCGGTAGTCGTGTCACTTGGTCGTTTGGTAGTGCTACGGTTGGGTTGTGTTTTTTTATCATGAGAATGTTCTATAGTTCCTCAAGCTTTTCACTGTTTGATCATTCCTACTAAGTCTTTGTGTGTCTGTTGTACCAATGTCCTTAGCCTAGACATAAACATCGTTTTCATTTTTGCTGAAATCCCACGTGTTTCCAACTCAAACTGAGGTCAATGTGAATCAGTAAGTTGTTGAATTTATGATCTTTGCTGGATCGCTAAGTGTTTCATGGGTACAGGGATTGTTCATTACTGCAAAATGAATAAGGTGCTTCGCGTTGACTGAACGGCTTTGGTCGTCGATGGGGTGGAGTTCGATTGAATTCCAAGTAGCTCTATTCCGTTTCCGAATAGTCATGCGTCCGGAGAAAGTGCATGTGCGTTTGACCTGAGCCGTTTCTCAAGATTTGCTGTGCGAGTCGTTCACGAAGTTGTGGAACACGAGTCTATAAATAGAGTAGAAATCTCTATGCAGAACGGCTAGTGCAAATGGATGCATAAAAATACAAAGGATAGCTTTATATATGTAGCCCTAGACAGACCAGTTTTTTGTCATATGATTAAACTAGATTTCGCAGACCATATTTTAAGCTGAACAAGGAAATCATGTGCTAGTTTTTTCTCTTACTGTTTCCTGTCGAAATCGTAGATAGTGTTTCGAAGTATATGGTCCCGACTTCTTAGCCACCAAATCCTCGTACTGAAATAAAAGTAGATAAGGTATTTATAAACGACTGGTTAGAGTTCTTGAGTACACGACTGGTAGGACAAGGTTTTATTCAATGGATGTGCCTGACAGATCTATTTGCCGTATTTATTTTGTGGCAGACTGGGTGAACTAACTGGCTGCATAAAATTTAGAACTATCCTTGTGGCTACGTTCAGAGTAATCACCATACGTGTTTTTGTAAAATCAGCGATGTCTAGCGCCTTACTATCAAATGCCCCATTGGTTTTGGCATTCGAAAAGGTGTGTCGAACCTTATTAATTTTTGAACTGAGTCGTGTGATTAAGCTCGACTGCTTGAGAAGAGTGAAACTTTGCCCATAGCCTGTTGCAAGGTAAGCGGAAGGCCTTTATGAATTGATTCTCAGGATTATTTATTGCTGATTTAAAAGTCCGGAAAAGTTCAGTCCCAAGAGGTCTGTCGCAGTTATTGACTTATCAGGGGGGTTGGATAGGCTCTGTCACGTGACTGTTTAGCGCTTGTTGGCTGTTGGCGCCGGGACCGCGCGTCTTCCGACTAATTTTAAACTACACCAACCTTGGGAGTTTCAATGAGGAGAAAATACCCTGCCTGTGTAGTCCGATTTTCGAGATCCGAACTTAGTTCGCCGTATTCACCTACGTAAGTTTCCAGCTCATGGCTTGAAACTTTTCAGGACATCCGTGAGTGCATGTGATCAGCTAGATAAACACTAACGGTCCACCAACGGTCAGTCTACTCTAATTGAGTTAATAGTTGTTTGAGAAAAAACGCTTTCTAAATTTTCTCTGTCGTGACTTATTATTTTGGACGTTTGAGGTGGGCGACGATATTGAGTACGTTGGTGAGTTATGTTCAATAGTATGCTCTTGGTATGTCTGGATGTAGGGATCTCATTCAAGAACAAAATGATGTTGGCCGACGTCGAAAGCAGTGCCCCAGTGTTCTAGACTAGTGCTAAGTTGCAAAGTGACCCTGTAAGAAGACCTTGGAAAATCTTTCGGAAGTGAAGCTAATGTATGCTGAAGAGCCCAGAAGCATTCTGCAGCCGCTTCAATCATCAGCAGTGTGCATCTGACGAAATAAGATTTGGAAGTTTACAATTCTCTCTGCTGTGGATTCCGTGAATGAAGGATGAGTGGCACAATGTACTGTCTATCTGTCGGTTAGTTATGTTGTTTATCAATCGTTCGCGACTGAACGGTTGAGTGTTCAAACGACTAGCCGGGTGACCGAGGTGCGCACCACTCACGATTCCCAGTAAGGATAAAACAACTGTACAGTCCTCGCTTTTTCGGCATGAGTTTGCTTCAAATCTACTTGATATGAGTCAGTCACTATTGATTCTCGACGCGATTGCCGATACATCCAAATCCCTCTTAGGTACACATATTCCATGTGATGATTATCGTAGATGTGGCAACTCTTGGTGACCCACACGAAGGCGGAAGGGTGCAGAAAAAACGCAAATCATAAGTGACTTTGTTTTCAAACAACTTGTCGTGTTATCACGATTACTTACAGTCACCGGTCGTTGTATTTCGGCAGACAATTTTCTGGCTCCCCCTGCTGTTGCTTCACCCTTAGGGGCCACAGTTGGTAGGTTGACTCCAGGTCGATCTGTTTAAAAACCATGGACGTGAGTACAAATGCATGGTTTATGTGGTGTGTCACATAAAAAAGAAAACGGTAGCATCACCGCAAGTGCATGATAGTTACGCTTATGTGGACAGTATAGCAGAGTTCTTCAGCGGTTGTGGGCCTACAGCACCAGCAGAATAGAAAAAGCTTTGAACTTTTTTACTTATCTAACTCTCCCTTGCTATACGTTTCTCATACACTACTTTATGTTCCCAAACAGGTTAGTTGGCCGTAGTTCCATTTTGAGGCGGTAATTTGTGGTGAATAAATCATTTAGACCCTTTCAGTGAAGGGCTGACTTTTGGTGAAGACAAACGATTTGAAATTAAAGTATAGTCACTGTAACTTAAAATAAGACTGGGCCCAACTTCCAGCTGTTAATTATTCATCTCATCTTTTTATCGTTGTATCTCATCGTTGTATGTTAACTTCTAAACATAAGGTTGACGGAAATTCGGGGACTGTGCCTACCTGATGAGCCCCAAGAAGGGCGAAACCGGTCGTCGGCTGTCAATGGATTTTCAGCAACCTTATGGGTAGTACATTACAAAGATAAACATGTATTGCGATATTCCAAATATCGGAGCGACTGAAACATGAGGCGGCCTGGTACAGCACATTCAGTTGCCTGAGAACATCATAAACGAGAGATTCAGCTGGGTTCCAGGTGAGTCTCTCGGAAGAACCAAATTAGTTTGCAAATGAGTGTATATTCGCTAACTTCTAAAGTGATTCGGAAACCCGGTAGAATTTTTTCAGGAGAACTTAGCGAGTTGAAGATGACTCACATCCGAATCCGAAAAGACACCATTGCTTGAAAATCGAAACTGACTTTATGTTTCACTGTTAAGCATAGGTAATAAATACAGAAAACAGCGCAACTCACTTTGACCAGAAGAGTAGGCAGTCTCGAATTCGTAAAGCTAAAGTTGATTTAGAGGGGACAATTAATATTTTGAACGTCAGTGTATTTAAAAATTCCCATGATATGCCATAACTACTTCGTTACCTTATTTCTTAAAACAAATAAACACCATTGATAGCGGAACTGTCTTACATTACCAACCCTTAAAACAGCCATCTGATTGCACCCTGCTTTTGTTAAATGCTTCGCGACGGAACACTGACAACATTGTTATGTTTCTCGTTACTGTGGTGCAGGTGACGTTGGAATCCATCCTTCACCCAAGTTGAAGGTTTGGCAATGAAAACCCTTAGGTTTTGCTGCTTGATCAATTTGTTTTCCTACACGAACGGAAATTTGGGTTCTCCAGTTACATCGTGGTGGGATTTTTCCCAACGAGTTGCTAATTTTTTAAACTTCAGTTTGGTCAGCATGCAACGGGTTCCATTAGAAAATACATTCGGAATTTACAAAAAAATTACTTGGTTAGGAAGTGTCGTAAAACACGGAGCCGTTAAAAACTGGCGTGACAAATTATTACAGTCTACATTTCGCCCCCAAAACTACCGGTAAATATCTGGATGATAGTTTGACTGATGTTTTGCTATTGCCAAAGCAGTCTTATCTCATCGTCATTTTCAGCTTTAAAACCGCGTACTTGTACGGTGCGTGTAGCTACCACAGTTTCGTTCGATAATATGGGGATGTAGTGGTAGACAGTTACTCATTGGTGGCGATTCCTAATATAATTGGTGCATCAATACAGGGGTGTCATTGGAGAGACTGGGAGGAACATCTACGCATTGCACACAACATTCGTAGTCAAAGATTTCTGCACCTTTGTGCACGCCGCCTCAGCACGTTCCACAGGTTCCGAACTAGATCGAAATCGGAAACGTATGTTTGCCAGAGGGTCCCTTCACTCCTTGAAGTATTAGACTGTTTAGGGCGACATGATGACGTCTTCCATGTACGGTTTTTAAGCTTTAAAAAATCCGATTGAGGTTTGCTTACCTGTGACATTAGGTCGTCCACCTTGTGGATAGCCGACTTCTTCAGTTTCCGCTCTTCACGTAATTGCTTGCGCAACAAATCGACTTCACGTACGGATTTATCGGCTTCCTGTTTCTTGGATTTCGCACTTGCGTCCAACAGTGATCCCATCTTTTCCAGAGTTGCATTCTTCTCAGCGATCTCGGCCATCTGTATCGGATACGAGCAAATTACAGATCCACTGTGATACATTTCTGACGCTCAAAAGAGTTTTTCCTAGTGAAATACGCATTGTGATGATGATAACTGGTGCACATTAGTCTTTCTCGACTTATGTCCCTGTTAAGTTGGAGTGACTAGTCGTAGAAGAGTGTTTTCCAGACAACGCTTCCTCCGTGATGACACGGCCTTGATCATCAGTGTCCTGGTTGTAGCCGGGAACATAGAGCCCGCTACCTTCGAAGGGAGATTAAGTGCGGCTGCCATAAGGGAACACAACTATTATTATCACTGAATAGCGTTACAAGTGCGATGCATTCATCATCCCGTTCGAAATATCGGCTAAGGCACTAGGTTAGTTGTCTTCTGCGTTCTTTATAGACTGTCTTACAGCTCACGATGCCATAACTCGACTTACCAGTTGGTCAATGTGCATTTGCTTCACCATCGCCATTTGCTTATCTGTTGCTGCTTTGCGTTCAGCTGCATGTCGCTTTTCAACTTTGTCCGACATCTGTAGGAACAAATCAAATGACAGACCATATTTAATCCTACTGGACCAACGGATATAAGCTCGCAAAACCGTTGTTCGTCCAGATATTTCTGGCAAATTACTGCTAACAATGTCGATGGAATCGATTAGTCATGAATGACTGACGCTGGTTCACTTAGGTTTTTGGGGGCTCATCTGTGTATTTTAAATTCCAGGGTTAGAGGATCCTCCAGAGGTAGGTAGTCTCACACCACAGATGATCCAAACACGAACAAGGTGGCTATTCATGGCTTCTCGGCCTCCAGAATGGCTTTACAGAGCTTAACACATCAAGCTACAAGGGTAACCCTAGCAAGTCCCCTCGATTCACATAGCTCATGAGTGAATAACGAATTTTGACAGTGGAACATTATGAACCCCAGATTCGTGATGTCTGGAAGCTGCACTGCGGGTTTACCAACACTGTGTATGAAACGTTAGCTTGTACGTACTTCGGTTGCTAAACCTAAGCGTGCACCAGTCCTGTCTATGCCTATATTGCTTGAAAAAGACGTGATTTCTGTCCTGAGTTTTAGTATAGCGTGTTTCGAATCCTGGGGCTGCTAACATACTTCCAATGCTTTGTTGGGATAAGTGCGTTGGTGAGCGTACACTCGCCAGGGGTTGATAAATACGTTATCAGCAAGTTTGTTCCTTCACTTTCAAATTGTTCTTAAGGATACGTTCCCTTCCCCCCATGGCTAATGCTTCCCAGCTAACCTGGTGCGCATTTATTTCTGGAGTGCGGTGAGTCTAAGGTAGATGGGGTTTGTGGTCCAGCATTGGAATACTATGAGTGAATAAAGTTCCCGAGGACTGACATACATATGTAGTTTCGGTGGACTTACCTCCTTATCAAGGGCTTTTCGCATATCATTCAGATGCTTTTCTGTGTTAGACAAATGATCTCGTAGTTTTGACATCTCTTCATTCAGCATCCTCACTCGCTGTTCTGATAGGATACCGAGCCGCGTAACTTGACTCTTGCTCTGATTACGTTGTTCCTCGACACCACTGATCTGCAGAATTCAGATGGTATAATGTTTTCGTATTAGTAAGCCACAACAGGGAGGGTAACAGAGTCACCTTTACAAATTACTTCTTTTTGGCCTGATGGTTTCAAAATTAAAAAACAACAACTGCATAAATGAACAAATGGCGATAGTATGGCAAAAAAAGTGATTCACTCCGAGTGACCTTACTCAAATTAACACAGCCTTTATCATCAATATTCCTCTACCGTCCATCGTAGCAAGCTTGTCACCAGCTTGCTTTAGTGACGTTTTGTCATTCGCTTTTTAATCCATTCTAGTAGTGTCCCTTTCAGGAGGTACCGGCCGTAAGACTTAACCAGAGTGGCTCCGTCTGGGGGACTTCTCTATTCTAGGAGGATCGACTAGGAAGCAGTTTTCTGTGAAAACTGAATGACTGGGATGAAGCAGTTACTTTTCGAAACTACCGTCCTATCTGAAATGGCAGCAGACAGATATTGGAGGTTTGTAGGCCCTTTTTATCACTAAATCCCAATGGTAGTACGTGCTGGACTGCCGTCCGTATGTTATCGGAATTACTCTGCCATTTCTTGTTCTCCGTTGTCCGATATTCCCTTACATAGTCCTCGAACAAAGATCATCTGTAGTCTGATGTTAAACCCATATTACCATGTCTAGTCGAACGCTGTTCAAAATCAAGAGGGTTGGTTTCTTTTTAGTCGTGTACGTTGATGCACTTCACAGCTTGAACGCAAACCCGGGTGAAATCGGTCTAAGTTGTTGACATCTTGGTATTTCCCATTTTAGACTCATAATTGCAGAAATGAACCATGGTCTGGAAGTAGAGTTTTCGGCTTATTCCGCAGGATGATCAAACATGGTTTGTTTACGACTAAACTTCTTCGGCCGGACTTTACCTGTGCGGTATCAAACAGCTTTGGCGTTGGGGACAGAAGAATACACTATTTCCGAAATAATTTAAAAGTTCGCCCATGGTTTTCTAAAATAGGCGCTGGTTTGCAACCATCATCATCTTATCAGATTGTAGCTGTAGTAGTTAGCTGGTCATCCTTGACAGTAAGCTGACTCAGGTGATCTTCTGAAGAGGTTTGTATTGTCTCGAAATGTATGGTGGACGTAGCCTTTCGTTATGTTGAACCACAATACCGTACTACCTTCTGGTTGTAGGATCCCTTCAGCTGTAGACTCAGAAACGATTGTTCTTCAAACTTGTCCTAAGGACACTGCAGCCACATGCGTCCCTTGACGCTGGATCACCACGGAAGAGGGCTTAGCTGAATGGTTAACCGTAAGTAGTGTCTAGGTTGTGTTACACGGCCCGCAAGTAGTCTAAGACGGCGATATGAGATTAAACAAGTGAAACGCCTTGCATATTTTATGATTTTTCGACCGAATTGCGGCAGTAAACTGTAAGAACAGGGCAACATGAAATATTCTGATGAAGTAAAGCTATCTGTAATTCGCCCTCGAATGACGGTATCATCTGATTTCTCGCGACTTGACCATTTTGGGGTGAGTAATCACTACTAAGAAAACAACCACACAACTGTGCTGTCACCGAGCTGTTCACCAACGCTCTGAAGTGCTATTAGCGCTGGCTAGACCAATCAGACCGAGCACTTTGAGCCCACACTCCTGGGCACATCTGAATGTTCACCGCAAAGCAAGTAAGTATTGGGACTACTTTTTCCATGAGGTCAGCATCAGGGACCCCACCGAAAGTAAATAACAGCCTAACTTTGTGCCAGAATAGTAGGGCTGACCCCTTTTCCGGGGTTGATGTTATTACTCTTTATTATTACCTGTTACTTATTATTCCTTTGGTTGATTTTATGGACGTATTGTGTGGGGTTGACCACTGCATTTGCCTGAGTGGATCATAGACGGTGAACAATCTTAGTTCCATGCTAGTACACTTACGGAGCTGTGCGCTGGACTACAGCTGGTATCACCTTGTAACCTTTTTTTACACAAAACATCCCTCGAAAAAATCCTCAAAAGACCGCATTGAATAACCCATTATTCTGGAATAGGTAACCCTAAAGGCAAGCCAATACACACGCGTTCTCTCACTGGGCTCCGTTTTCAGAGAAATCTGGCTTTAAGTTCGATTGATAGTGCACGAATTACTACCTGGGATGAGACCTTGCATTGATGGTAGTGGGAAGTTGTCATAATGCTGGCTGATTTGTGGATTGTGATCTATAGCATTTGTTGAGTTTTATAAACTTTTTCCTCCGAGCCTTATCATGTTATGGCTTACTTAACGTATAATGGAGTAATAGTCATCAGAGCCGACGACGTCCTTTGGGCAAGGCTGCTTTTGTCGATGCCGATTCTAGGCCGCTTTACGAGATATACATGTCGTGAAGTGTCGTAGTAGTTTCAGCATCCTTTTCAGTAATGTGTTCCGTCATGAATATATACTCCAATATCTCGAATGTCGTGCCAACTGAAGCATGAGGTGACCTTCATGCAGCACATTCATACGCAAGAGATTCGGCTGGGATTTAGTCAGGTTTCCCGTTAACAACAACTTATTTTTCGAATGAGTGTATTTTGCCCAAATGAGAATGTGGTTTTTGTCTTCATGTAGTAGTTTTACTGTTAATGGTCTATGGGTTGGTCACGGGATCCTTCCTAGCTCGTCTGCCTTTTGGGGTCCTCATGACGAGGGTGTAAGGCGACGAAAGTGTGAAAGCCCTTGGTCACTACTAACTTTATGTCGGCGGTAAACTTTTCCTGTCAGCGTCAAACTACAATCCTATCCAAATGTTCGAATCAGTGCTCGGTATCACTGTGACTGAACGGGTGAATGGGTCAGCTCATCAGCAGATAACTTTTCCTGATCATCATATTGATTTTGACAGTTAACTCCTTGATAGCCCAAGGAAGATTTTATCGTATGTTGTGAACATCGAGCATGATGCAGTTGTTCGAAAGACATTATTGAGAGAAGCGTTCTGTGTTTCGGAAATGTAATGTGTTTCGAGAGGTGTGGTTTGTTTATGAAGAGAATGATAAATACGAATGAGCATTTATAAAATGGAGGACCAACCTTTTCAGCAGCAGATAATTGCGGAATAAAGATAAATAAGCGGCAGAGATAATAACATTACGTGGGAGGCGAGCATAAAGTGACGTTCAACGCCTGTCCACAATCACCGTTCAAGAGCTTATTATTAGGTCAGGTCCATAGCAAAGACAATTTTCCCAGTTTAGTTTAATGGTGTATCTGTGGCGAATTGCAATTTGGTCGTACGGAACGATTGCTGCTCTCTGGTATCTGACAACACCAGGTGCCGCTTTAAAATTAGGGTATGATGCTTACTTCGGAAGTGCTGCCTTACATAACTCGTCCTCTCCGAAGATACACTCGACCCATGGTAGATAATTCCAGTCATCTATCGTGTCCCAACCCATCGGTTGAAACCCTTAAACTTATAGACATTAGAAATGATGGAGACTATTTTCAGTAAGCTATTAGATGCTGGCTTACGTTCCCACGTGCACTTTGTTCAACACCTCAGTTTGTCAGGTCCATCAGTACACTGCGATGCTGAGGCTCACGTGCGGAATGCCATTCAAATTTTCTATCCTGCTTCCGGTGATATTAGGATGAGGTGTACTAACCTATCATTATTTTTCTCATTTTCTGTAGTGTCCTGCAACATGACATGCACAGAGCATAGGAATAGTGATTTAGGTCATGATCGTTTCAGGCATACTCCTTTTGTTATATTATGATATAGATTTTTTGTCTTTTGTAACGCCCATAATCGAACAACATCCCGGTGAAATGCAATGGCGTGGGGAAGGCTGTGAAACATGGAGGGGGAAACGAAGAAGACAGCTGAATTTTGAGAAGGGATACGGATCACGATGTAGTGGGTGAAGACAATTAGGTTGGGCCATACGGTATCTACCCTCGAGATTTAAATCCAACTAGTGGTCTTGAACATTTATGGAGCTTTTCCTCACCCATTTGTCATGAAAAAAACGGCATTTGCAGACATTTCGCTCACAAGTGGACAGTTCATTTTCGAAGACAAACTCAAAAGCGTTCGCTCCTTCAGTTACCTGTTTTTCAAATGCACACCGCAGTGTAGTTTGTTGCCAGTGGGCCATGACACGGAGACGGCTCATCATCTGCTGGAGCCCGATGTTTCTTTGGTGCAGTGTATTGACCTCACGAGAGAGGCGGAGATTTCGTTCGGCTAGTTCATCCTCTGAAATTCAATCAAAAAAGTTTTTCATCCTTGGGTTCATTTTATATGGGTTGTCATCTTTTGTTCAATTTAGTCGGAATTATCGTCGCTCGCTGCTTTTACGCTGATAGATGTTTTCAGGCAATAATGATTATCTTCAGAACAAATACTAGGATCAGCAGTTCTACTGTTGACGACCTTCTTCGCAGGACCCAAACCGCTACCATTTGAGAAATAATAGTTGCCCTTCGTTTTTTCTACCGTCGGAGTAAGTGGTAGTACGGCAGTTATGCATCAGAGTCAACACTGATGTTGGTGTCTTTGGTGATGATGATGACGACGAGTAGGTGGTGCGAACGGCCGACAACAAGATGGACCGCCCTCGAAGGAATTCAAGCCATAAAGTACCAGAACATGTTTTGACTGTTATGAACAATGCATTTCACTCTAATTTCACGTTCACCATGCATTGGACAAATGAAAGCGAACAATAATTTTGAAACTGCAATTTCGAAGCAGCTTCTAGTATTCAAATCCGGTTGTTAACTTGACTAGCAACTGTGGTGCGTATAAATGTTTTACGCAAAACATCATGTTATGGGTAGCAAAACACTTTCGAAATTCCTTTTAGGGTAAACTTTACCACTAGTCGTTGAAGACACATCGAATGCTGTCTACGTTTTGCCTTCATTCGAGTTTCTATATACCTAAAAACAATGTCCATCCCTTGTTCGGGAGTTCTGTTGCTAAAGCCCCCATCATACTGCGGTTAACCTTCAGGTTACTCTGGAGGACATTTTTAGTGTTTTTGTAGGTAATGTTTTGGTCCGTGTATCCGTCAGTCAGTAAGAAGGGTTTAATTAGGTCGGCAGCACGGTTGGCCTATCAGTATCCAGATTTCAGTATGTAAGGCAGCGCTTCAGGTTCAACTAAATGGACAATAAGCCAGGATTTATACCGTGTTCCACAGTATACTGAAATAGATGAGCAATCATGCAACAGTTCCGTGTTGGACACCATTCCAAATAGCTCGAAAAATCAATATATCTACGTAGTGAAAGAAAAACCGAAAATCGAGGTTATTTGGCCTCAGCGAAGAATGAAAAACGAGATTAGCAAATCACCTGCTGAAGCTCTTGCTCCGCTGCGTTCCTTGATTCGAGCCATCTCAGCTGAGGCTTCTTCACGAACTTCGGCAATCCGTTGCAGCGTGATTGCATGTAAATGGTCACGATATTGGTCAATGCGAGATTTTTGTTCAAAACTGAGCCCGAATAACTTGCGCATCGCCACACTGAATTCTCTTCGCACGCGATTGCGAACTTTTGCTTCTGTCTTAAGATTGATGTCCTCCAGCTCCGCTATCTTCGCTCGCAAAGCAGTCACCTCTGTGAATGAAGATGAATGGGAGTGAGTGTGTTTAAAGCTCATTTCATTCTCTTAATAAGGCTATTGTCGCAATTCAGTCGTGACATTCATCATGCAGTCAGATTCAGCCCACGACGAAACACCAAGCAACAATGCGCTGTTCCTTGACCTTCGGATTGAACTCGTATTAGTAGTTGGAATAAGTTGTGCAGCCTATTAGTTGAGTTCACTTCACGTTTCGCGTTGATCATCTATTCAAATGATGGCTTCTCAGAAGAATCTAACACAGGTCCCCAGTCGGATTACATCAACTTTCTGTTCCCCTATAGGTGTTTTCAAGTTCTATACCCGAAATTCTCACCAAGAGTGAATATATGATTATGAGGAAGTATTCTTTCTACGTTTGCAGACTAGCCCCCATTGTGTATAGTAAAGTTCCCACAGATTTTATGTATAGTCCCACGCGGTAGTACGCGTTTAGCTGTAACTAAGTGAATATTTGCATAAGTAGCGCTGAAAAAACAGGCCCTAATGGGACGTTCTATCATGAATAAACACTACTTTTCCTTTTTCCAAATGAACCAAACCTCACAGATCCAACAAACTTTTTGAACAATCTGTTGTCATCGCCCAGCGTTCTCGTTCAGCCAAGTGTTTATTCCGTCAGCTATCGTTGTGTCTTGGTTAATCTCGTCAAGACCACCCCTGAAGAATCAATGGGTGTATATTTTCGGTTAGCTGCGGACGGAATTTACGTTTGACCACTGTCAACGTAACTAATACCTGTTCTTATCGCTGTTCTGGCCGTTGGCGTGCGGCGCCCGTTGTGCCAAACTGGGTTACAGTATATCCATGAATGAATTGTGTTGTGGTCAGATGCTGCGCTTTAGGTTAATTTTATCGGTAACGTCCGTTCCAGTCTTTTCTTTCGTGGTAAAATTTGGTTGATCTTCTGAGGGCACTGGAACTAGTAAAGCTACAAAATCTAAAAATGGAACGAAACAAATGCTGAATGCATGAAAACGATGAATTTGCCGAAAGCACGCGAATTGACGGATTCGAGATGCATAGCTGCAACAGAGAAAAAGCAAGATAGAAAACGCCTGAGAAAGGCCGCCAATTTGTGTAGTTTAGCCGCTAAGGTTCCTCGAAAGAACACTGCGTTCGTTCTTTGACGCGACCTAATACTCAAGTTTACTGGAGAGTCTTAGAACTCATGAGTAGTATGTTGTGTTGCGAAAATATACTGTGATGTTTTTTAAATCGCTTCAGCTGAAACACCAGATGATCTTTTTGAAACGCGTTCATTTGGAAAATGCCATTAACGAGAGGTCAAATGGAGTCCCTTATTAACACCAGTGTAATATACAAATAAGGGTATTTCGCCAGCACCACTTTTAGTTCTCCCGTCCAGGCTATCCCCTGCGCACATTCACCTTATTCCCTCGGCATGTTTTGTTCGTTCTCATGATTTCGAGGCGGTACAATTGATTTTCAGCCTTTAGAATCCCAGAAGCTTACCAAGATGTGTTGTCTGGGATCCAGTTAAGGCCGAAGCTACCTGGGTTAGCGGTAGAGTCAATCAAGCAACCTACATATGATTGTATCATCGCTCACTTCTGGTCGGGTGGCGATCCCATCAAATGATGTAGACCACGAAGTCACGTAGTTTGATGACGTATTGGCCAGAGCCATTACGAAGGTAACACGGACTGCTTCGGTTTCAATTGGAGACGCTGTTTGGCTTGAACAGTGCTCAACACGCCCATGTGCAATAGTACGAGTAAGTATCATTCTATATGCACGGACATATCTACTGTGAGTAATTGAGTGTGGCAGCATGTTTGGTTCGTATAGCACACCCATATTGCAGGTTACCATTTTCTGACGAGCGAATATATTGTAGGCTGACGATCCACTGCCATTTGAACCGTTGTTTTTAAAGTGTGGACAATTATTTCAGTCGTCTTCGTTAGAACTATTGAATGATGTTAGGTAACAACGATACCGTTGAGACAGAAAACGATAAATTACCTAGCAGAAGATTGTGTGCTTGCTCAGACATTTGAAATTGCACCGTTACATTTGTTTCCAGTTCGTTTTGTCTCAAGGTTTCTTTCAAAGTTTCAATTTCACGTTCTTTGGCATACAGTAGGCTGTGTTGATTCTTCAGCAAGTTTTCGTAATACATTGAGTAACTAGAAAAAGGATCGAGAAAATAGGACATTTGATATTTCCCCACCATCGATGCTGAGATTTATGAAACTTAGACGTATCCAAAACTTCATCCTTTTATGAACCAGAACAGAAACTTTCGGTCCTCTTGAAACTAAATAAAACATCTTTCCGAGTCGATATTGCTAGACACCCGCAGTTACTAGGATTTGGCGAGATAGCTCAAGTGGTTGGAGCGCGAATTTACTGACCGGAAGGTCCGTGGTTCGAACCTGACCTCTGCCTTTCAACTTCACCTTGGGCAACTTGGCAGTATCCCAGGCTTCGTGCTTCCTTCTGGTGGCTTAGGGGTTACGGAAGGGTGTTACAGCTGAACGATTCTTCTCAGCTACTAGGATCTTGGCAGAACTCACTGATAAGTTATTTGTTTGAAAACTATCGATGGTGGCAATAACAATACAGCACTTGTATACGAAAGGACAATCTTGGAGCATATGAATGACTCCCAAACTGGGGGTATTCCTTTAACTTGTCACTGCACAGTACTTTGTTAGGAAAGAGAAACGTATCTAGTTGTACCTGAAATGTAACAGCGAAGTCGCCGGTTTGAGTATCTTTTCCTTCGTGCTAGATGTACTTAGATCATTAATTTCCGGAACATTCGTTTATTCACGGTTATTTGGACATGTTCTTCCAGATCGTTCTATTATTTCCATGTGTACAGTGGATTTTTCGGGTGACCAATGTGTTCCTCTTTGTGTAAATGGAGATGTAAGAGACTAACATTATGAGTCCTTGCAATAGTCATAATATTTTGTCCTCTGGGTTCGTACAATACTCTCACAAACACCACAGAAGCGTAAGTAATTTTGTGAGTTGTATACTGTAATGAAACGAAAAAAGTGATTGCGTTCGTCAGGAACTAGCTAGATACTGTCTTGTTTGGCGCTGCTTGATTGACCTTAATGCATACTGCAACTTTGGTAAAATATTGGTTAGGTTGACACACGTACCTAGTAGAATCGCAATTTTTTTTCTACCATTTTGAATATAGGTCGGTGACAAATCAGAACGTGTTTGTTGGTCGGTTCTAGATTTTCCCTTCCATCGGCTCTATTGCGGCAGAAAATACCTTGCCAGGCAAGCCCCTATTTCGTGATACATACCTCCACTTGGAGATGCGTCTTAGCAGAAGTCTAGGAAACTGTACAAAATTAAGCAGTTTTTTTCGGGAAACCCAGGTTGTCATTTTGGCGCTAAATTCGCTACATAAATACATACAACAGTATAATAGGTAACCTGATTTCAGAGCACCATTACCTGCTTACCCGTTTATTAACTGCTCCTCTTAGTAGCATCTCGTGTGGGGATCACGGCAGATTACGAGCTGCACCTTGATTTAAGCTTTTTTGACATTAGCTATTACGTCACGGGATTTCTTTTTCCTTGTTGACAATGTGTACACCTATTAAACTTAGTCGGCTCAGCCATGGTTGTCTGATAGGTGTTTATTAGACATGTACAGGATATGACGACTTTGAGCTGCTCACAGACCTCTTATCCCGTCTGTTCTTTCTGTCGGCTGTTCCATCACTGACTTTCACCACATACTGTACCACTTTTTGGATTTTAGTTCAGGTTTTTCAACCGCCGAATGCACACTCATCCATTCTAGTGGCCGCAAAGTCTACAATGCTTTCCTGTTGGAGTATTTTGTTATTCTTCGCAACTTTTTACGACAAACTTATCCAGCTGGCTGGAATCAGGAGGTGTCAGGTCTACGTTTAGGAGCCTGTAGAGCTGCATCTTCTAGAGCGTCAGCTTTTTGTACCATGTATACTCTTCTGCGGGTAGCTTTCAAGTGCGGTTCGTTCTGTCATGTTAAGTACCTTAAATAAGGTGTTCTAGAGGTAGCGGAATACACTCATTTGCAAACTAATTTGGTTTTGTGAACCCAGCTGAATCTCTCGTTTGTGATGTTTCCAGGCAACTGAATGTGCTGCACCAGGCCGCCTCATCTTTCAGTCGTCACGATATTCGAGATATCGTGATACTTGTATATTCGTAATGAACTACTCATAAGGTTGCTGAAAATTCATCGACAGCCCACGACCGGTTTCGCTCTTCTTGGGGCTCTTCAGGTAGGTTTCAAGTAGAACATAAGGTTGACGGAAACTCGGGGACTTCACCTACCTGATGGTCCCCAAGAAGGGCGAAACTGGTAGTGGGCTGTCGACGAATGTTCTAGAATGTTTCAAGAAACTATTAAATAGGGGATTTGAATGCCGTTGTTCATCTATCGAACGCTGGTGGCCTATAGCATTGGCCACAATGTGCACAACATTAAAATATATTTCAATTGGAGAATAAACATTTTTCAAAAAAAATTCTCAACCAATCGGTCCAAAAAATTACCATTTCCGTTTAGAGTTGTGTCCCGTAAATTTATTTTCGACCGATACCATTATGGGACTTAATCTTTGCAGCATAGATAGTGATTCAATTTCGTTCTTATAGTGTGAAGCTTCTCCCAGTTTTTGCAGGTTGTGTTGCCAAACCACCCCACTATGGATAGGGAAGTTTTATCAATGAAGCGTCAAAACGTGGTGCCGATATAGATTTTGAGCGTTTCCAGTCTATTTACAAATAGTTATTTACGAATCATCTCATCCCCGACGAGACTTACTTCTCGTAGGATTCACGTTGCGTGCGCATCACCGAGATGGCCACAGTTTGCAACACCTCGTTCAACTTATCCTTTGTGATGATGTAGGTATCGTTTCTGGCGTTTTGTTCCAGGTGCGACATCAGCTCGACCAGAAATTCATCAGCCAACCCAGGCCTTTTCACTGACAGTGTCTCTTTCATTGCCTGAAGTCCAAGATATTATTGGTGAGCTATTTAGGTGGCACGTTAACTTTCGAGAAGTAATAATTACGGTCGTCAGGAAACCAGGTTATCAACGAGGAGTCTCATTTTTACCAAAACATCTATCGGATATTTTCGCCATTAAAGCAGGGATGTGCGAGGGGCAAAACCGTTGTTGTCAGAATCTTTTTCTGGGTTCACAGTTGCATGACGAGTGTCAACAACAATGCGTTCCATTGTTTGACATTCTGGCACGAGAGTGGATGAGCATGCACACCAGGAATAGTTTTACGCACTGTATTACAGAAGCGCTATGAAATCTGAAGCGGCATTGATGATGGACACCTCCACAAACTACTCTAATCAGAGCCATGGGCGAACGATACGGTGTTTCAGAGACACAACTCGTCATTTTCATTTCTTGTGGCAAGGCTCTGGTTTACGAATAGGACAGCTTTCTCATGACTATTTTATGCCTGAATGAAGAACTGTTACAAGTCTTTTGACCGAACAATGGTCCCTTTCATGAGCACGGTATTCGAGTTGCATGTACAATTGTCTGTTCAACGGCTGTGTTACATAAGTGGGGTATGGTTTGTTTCTTATGGTTTTTACATCACTGTTCATATTCACTGTTGCCCCCGCAGGCATAAAAACATCTGAATGGATGAGGTAGTGGGTTTATTTTGTTGGTCTTCGTGACAGCTCCATTCGGGTTATAGTGTGTTTCTCCATGTAGCAACCAACTGGTTTTCCCTTCACTTTTTCTTATTAACACGCCTCAATATTTTCCAAAAGTTTCGACAGATTTCTCAAGATGAATAGACAGAAGTCTCAGTACCATTGGAGGGGGTTTTTTGCAACCCATCGAGGTTGGGTACCCTTGGGACACCCTAGCCTCACATCAAGCGACCGTCCTCTGTCGACTGTACCCGGTACAATAAGATGTGTGTTCATTCTCTGTTTTTGTTCAGCAAGGTACTCAATACTAGCGTGGTAGCGCTTGTAGAATAAAATTCAAACGTAACGCCTACCGGACGTTTCCATAATTCCAGAGGCAGATTTCCTTCTTCGCGGTTTCTCTCCTTGATGACCAGGTCGGTTTGCCTTAAAAGCAATTTGCGAAGGTCAGCAATCATGTAGAATTCGAACGCTTCGATCAGTTTCAGAAGCTAAAAAAAGTTAGAAACCCTATTGGAGGGGGTTTTTTGCAACCCATCGAGGTTGGGTACCCTTGGGACACCCTAGCATCACATCAAGCGACCGTCCTCTGTCGACTGTACCCGATGCAATAAGATGTGTGTTCATTCTCTGTTTTTGTTCAGCAAGGTACTCAATACTAGCGTGGTAGCGCTTGTAGAATAAAATTCAAACGTAACGCCTACCGGACGTTTCCATAATTCCAGAGGCAGATTTCCTTCTTCGCGGTTTCTCTCCTTGATGACCAGGTCGGTTTGCCTTAAAAGCAATTTGCGAAGGTCAGCAATCATGTAGAATTCGAACGCTTCGATCAGTTTCAGAAGCTAAAAAAGTTTAGAAACCCTTTCAAAGATGCATTCACCGGTGGTAGAAATAATAAGATAATGGGGATGAAATATCTGAAGTTCTGAGATTTTTGTAACTCATTTCCGTAACAAGACTGGAAGTAAAAACTGGGACTAGGGTGAAAATACTCCACTTTTTTATTGTGTTTGTTCATACGGTCGTGCTCTCGGGAGGAATTGGCCTAGCCCGCTGAAATCTTCAATAAAGGTCCTTAACTAAGACCACAAATCAGTTTTCACAAATTTTGACCAAAACAAGACAAGTTCAGTACCATGTGTTCAGTGATCCTTCGAATGTTTTAGTCTCCGTTGAATATTGCTCATTTTAAGTTGCAGTGACTGCTCATGAAAACGAAAAATAGAACGATTATTCTGCGTGGCTTCAATGCCCATCATACAGTTACGTGTGCGGGATGGTAAAAATTTACTGAAGTTACTGAGTGACGCTGGCACCCGGCATCCTGTTCCGACCGCATCTAAGATAACCGGGTATTGTGCTGCACGTGATACTGTTTGGTTTTAAAGCTGCATAAACCTGGAGACCCATATGACTGCCTCAGATGGGTACCTGTTAGAAATTGGCTTGTGGTCAAGTGAGTTTGCCACGTAACATCGAGAAATGCTATACATATTGAATAATATCATAGGTCAGCTGTCCTTTTGCAACTGAAGAGCCGTTTCTATGTGATAGAAAATATGTGGTGGTCCGGAGGATACCAGGCAATTAAGCTTGAACGGTTAAGCCTGTTTTCCTGTCTCACTCCAGCGAGACTACTTGTAACACCAACGGTATCAAAGTCAGTTTATACCTGAATGGTTTTGTCACCTTAGACTGACTATAAAAAGGACTGCACTTTTGATCAGCCCCTTGAGGTGGTCTTTTCATATCAGGATAAATGTACTTGTGTGGCGCCCTACATACCATATACCAGTTTCTGAGGTGTCGCACGATTTTTGAACGTACGCTCGAAAGGCCGCGGAAAGTCAAAATCTTACCGGAAACGGATCAACCAACCATCTTTAGGCCATCCTAGCGAACTTAATTTACGAAATACTTTTTGACGCTTCTCACATTCGCATGCGGAAAGACTCGCTTTTGGGTTGGATCGTCAAAATCACTCACCAGCTAACAGGATCCTGACAGAACCGTAGATGAACATCATGAATGGGGCTTCCAGTGAAGTCAGTTGGGACATTCGCCATTTAGCGTTTGACCCGGAACTCGAATAGAATAGTTAGAAGGCGGAGATGGTAGTTACGATTTGTGAACGGAATAGTTTATAGCGTGTTCGTTGGTTGCTAGTTCGTTTGTCCACTCAGTTTTTTTTTAATGGATCTACTTTTGACCGGCTGTGATTTTCGGTTAATATCTTGGTAAAATCTGCAATTATGGTCCCACTTGTGCAAATCTACGTCTACCAACGCGGGAAGCTGATAATTCGTGTGCAATTATTTCTTATTGAGAATAAGCCCAAAAGAGTTTGGAACCCACTCTTTTCGGATGAAAAATATAACACTACTTTTAAGGAGCCGCGCTTCCAATGTTGACTGGCCGTCAATGACGCCATCATGGTCAGCATTTCTGAGGCGGGTAATTCTACTAATAAGTATTCTTCCACGAGGAAATGACTTTTTTCCGTGCCGCATCTGATCTAAACGTTCGGATGGTTATGCGGTTTCCATAACGCCCGTTTCCTACACAGCATACCCTGTATATATTTTCGGAAATTTCTCTTGCTATTTCTATGGATCCACACTCACCTGTCTTTGTCGTACTACCATTTCCGGTATGCCCTTTGGCATAACAATGATGTCAGTGGCATCCAACGGGCCAAGTGCGTACATATCCGGTTGTCTGTATTGTATGGCAAGGCTCCGGATTAACGGGTACAGTTTCTCCCGCTTGTAAATAGAACTGAAATTAAAATTATTCGGTGCTAAATTCTGGACAGGTTCCATCGTTTGCTGGTTCAAAAACAACAAAACTCGGCGGCAAAATGTTTGTCAAATGTATAACAGATCAGCCATAGTCATCTACGAAGAATAATTATGTTTTATTCGATCACCCTGCTGATATTTTGTGATCTTTGTCGTGTTTAGGGAGTCAGTGCTTTAACCGGATCAATAAGTAACCCTAATCTTCACAAAATGCACGTAAATTTTGCACTCATCGTAAGTCGGCCCAAAGACTCGTCTTAAAAACGAATACATTTAATGATTAGATGTTTCAGCGTGCTAAAATTTGCACGCTGGTCATAAATGTATGAAACAAAGACAAAGATCGGTTCTCACTCTTTGCCAGTTCGGATAATTCTATAAATCACTTAAATTGTGCATCACTTTGGCAATGTAGGATGGCTCCCAGTTTTAAACGTATGGAATTAAGGTGATAATTTGACCCAAATATTAGATATGTCTCTATGACTAACTCAACCGCCGACTTCCAGATGCTGAACACCAAAGCCACAGAAGTAAAGCTCACGTAGGGCCGACAATGCAAGGACAGGCAGGTTCGACCAACTGCTTTCCATGACTCAGGGCCCCAGAAAGGCCACAGAAACGTAGAAACCAGCACCAATTACTGTAGTGTAGTTAACTTATCAGATAGACCACTGAGTGAAGACAAACGCTGTTTGTTGGAAAAGGGACTAAACTTCGCTGTGAGCGAGAAATTAATAAGAATGGAGGAAATAATTCCTAGTGTAGAGTCGGTGTTTCAAAACCTTCCTTCAGCGGAAGCTGAGAAGCTACGGGTACCATTGGTCACAGTCCTGAAACGCCAACAGCCGGAAACTCTAACACCATCAGAGCGGAGAGCGTTGAATACATTGTCATTACCAAGGCTGATAAAGGTAAAGCAACAGTAGTAATGAACACGAGCAACTATCTTCAAAAGGTCAGGCAACACCTTGCCGATGAAACCTATCGACAAATTACCGGTAGCTTCAATAATGAATAAGAGTAAGGTTGAAGTTGGTAGATATTTAAGATCCGTAATGAACCATTTAGGGCAAGGTAGGTAGTATCGGCTGTATCTAAAAAGTGCGATTCAACCGCGACTCTACGCACTGCCGAAAATCCACAAGGCAGATGTACCGATAAGGCCAATAGTGGATGGTATAGGCTCGCCACCGCATGAACTGGCTAGATTCTTAGCTGGTATACTAAAACCACTCACTGGGAAATCAAGCACCTTCATTAGGAATTCGTTCGACTTTACCAGCAAGGTCGCAGGGTTACCTTTGGAGATGGACGAAGTTCTCGTGAATTTTGACATAATCTCAATGTACACAAACATCCATAGGGTAGATACTCTGGAGGTAACTAGGAGGTTGTTACTGGTAGACACGACACTCGGGGAACGGACACAGCTCTCGGTGGATAAAATAGCTGAGGGAATAAGAGTGTGTTTGAACCGTGATCAGTTTGATTTTGGCACGACTGTTTACTTACAAGAACAAGGTCTTGCAATGGTATCTCCGATATCCCCAGTTTTAGCTAATGCTTATATGGAGAACTTCGAACAAATAGCCTTGGCCGGATACCATCGTCCACCGAAAGTTTTTTGGGTCATGTCGACGACACCTTTGTTGTAATGAAACGAGATAACGTGAACAGCTTCCACGACTATCTCAATAGTCTAAATCCTCACATGAAGCTTAGCATGAAGATAGAGTCCACCTCGGGCAAATTACCTATTCTGGACTGTGGGAAACTAAAAACTACTATCTACCAGAAACCAACAGACACAGGAACCGTCTTAATCTACTCATCAGCAGATCCAAAGTCAGTGTACGCCAGTATTGTCTCATCGATGTTTCGTCGAGTCAGAGCGCTGTGCACAGAAGAGATCGACCGAGCGGCAGCTCAAATCGAGATCGCCAACAGACTTCGAGAAATAGGATACCCAATGAATTTGGTTAAGCGTCAACTAAGAAGGATATTGAATCCAGACCACATAAGGAATGGATTAGCACAGCAGTCATTCCATATAAAGCAGGAACATGGAGGTTATTGAGGTTATTGGAGGTTGTTGAACTTAGCCAACATTCAAGTCGCTTTCCAGAAGGGAAAAACGCTACGCTCAGTTTTGGTGCAGTTGAAAGATCCCTTGCTGGCTGCGTGTATAAAATTAACTGCAACGATTGCACTAAGGTTTACATAGGACAAACTGCCGGGGAATCGGACACCAGAATTGGTGAGCATAAAAGAAGGATAAACAAACCACCAAGGAATGCAGAAGAATACCAAACTCACCAGAATGTTTTGAATAAGTTCGGATTATTGATGGATTCCACACCCAAGCGTCGTCGACCCCATGCATACTTTAGCAATTCGACTCGTTTCCAGAGAATGAGGAACTTCTTTAGAAGAGTATAGGCGGCAACTGGTGAATCCAGCGTGCTCAACTTTGGTGTTTTGTCTAGTTTGAATCATTGAAAGTGGTACAGAGATCCCGGTTAGTGCTATGATATTTTCGTAGAACATGGGTGAAGATATTTTGAAGATAATTCAATTCAGTCTGCTCTTTATGCTCCAGGGTAGTTAATCTCCGGTGTTCGTCGTGTAGCCGAAGATCATATGAGGTAGAAAGACAGTGGATGAAATGGGTAGCTGAAAAGTTGATCAGTGATTGGTGGGTTTCGCGATCGGGCACAAGCAACTAAACTGGTTCTCTTGGGCTTCAAAATTTATGCATTTATGGTGTGTCACTTCTAAGGATCAGAGGTCTTCTATAATCACACAGGATGCTCTGACTCCAACTTTTCATACCTCGAAGGCCACACTGGTGTACAAGCCGAACGGTTTGATTCAATTCCAAAAGTGCCCGAGATTTTTTCCGAAGCTGACTGGTCCCATATAAGGAAACAATCTTCCGGAAAAGTGTTTTCTCTTCAGAAAGATTAGTGAGTATCATGGTCACATATTTCAGGCGGCTTCCGTTGTAAACAATAGCTTAAGTGAGATCTTATCGCCATATGCTTTACGCTGTTCCAAGAATTATCTGACCGCTCAGACTGCTGATTTCAGGTCTTCGTACTTCAAAGTCTAAGGCAATTGACGTAACGTTTCTGAGGTAGTATATCACGAGAACAAACCGCTCATCTGATTCCTGAATGAGATGATTTTGAAAGTTCAGCACAGATTTCATCCTGTCGTGGAATCCATCAGTGCTGAAAGAAGTCACTGAAGAAACCAGTGAACATGTGGTCACGTGATACAAATCAAGGGGAAAACGAACAAGTGGCACTATGTACCATCGTTGATCAGCCACGCATGGCTGGACTACTATTTTCCATTCAAAACAAAAGCTGTCTTATGAAATATATTTTGGTGTTTCGGAGGTATTTCTTCGGGAAGTGACAAAGTCATGGTCAAATACATCAACAAAATACATGTGAGCTGGAAAACCAACAACAGAAGATGAGCATTGCCAGCTACCTTCGTTTGTACGACCCCCACTGTACTCGATACTTCAAACTCTTTTAAGCTTTAAACCCACAATTCCTGGAGGTAGTATTTATGTGACATTCAACAGAGCAATAACACCAAATAACCCGCGTTGAATATTTAACCTAGCTAGTGAGTAGACTGGATTATCACACATTTCCTCTCTCCATCGAAGGCAATCTGTAGGTTGACTCTAAAGTGAAATTATATGCACTACTGTATCAGCGGAGTACGGTGTCGAAAAAATATTAGCGTCTACTATGGTGTTCTTTGTAGTGAATAATCACCATGATTATTTTTCTGTCGCTCTTTGCTTGCAACCAATGACCGGAAAACAGTACACAAAAATGAGGTTAAAACTAATTCTTACACAGCAACAGGCGCCTGTAGCACTTTCTGCGCGCTGTCTTTCCATATGGATAACTTTTGATTACGTAGGCTCAGAGGTACACTACTTCCCAAAACAACTATTTGTCCATTTTCGTCCACTTTCCCTTATTTTCGATGTTCATTAAAAATTAGGATAGCTCTTTGGTGGCCATACATATGTCCCTAGTCATTTTGGCTGCTGCTGGCATTTGAGCTAGACATGTCACGTTCACCAGCTCTTTCTGAAAACTATGGAACTCCTCAAATCATTGATGCCGTACTAAAATGGACGACGACGACTTTGTAATACTTGCTGAAGTTCAGGCTGATAACGCACCCGGAGTGGTTGTCAAAGGTCCCGTTCCTCCGGCACCACCGTGCGTTGAGCTCTTTTGTCCTTGGGTTTCACTGCTATGAGTAATATTCATGGTGTTGATGCTTGTCCCAGTGGCGTTTGCTGGGTTCGTAGTACCTGCCACAGAGCCTGGAGTACTTGCAGGTCCACCAGTCCCAGTTGGTGATGCTGCGTTAGGGGGAGGGATTTCACGACGACGGTCACGCGTGCGCTTGCCCAGCATACAATGCATATTTTCTGCCTGTTGGATTGGCATCGGTTCACCAGCTTTAGCTTCCGGGATGTCACCAACGTCCAGAACATCTTCCAGGCAAAGATTCATTGCCAACAATTCACCATGCACTGTTGGCCTGTAAATTGTGTGTGAGGAAGAGTACAAATTGTATCAGCTCAATTTGTTTTATGCAGTACATGATTCAGCAAGAAGGGCATCTTCTAGGAGGGACTATCTTCTTTAACGACAAACTTCTATATTTATGGTAATGTCTTAAAGAAGAAACCAGATATGCGAAAACCATGCTGAACACAACACTGTTTATTCGATGGACTCTGGAGGCAGTTCAGATGTCTGCTTGAAGAAGACGAGTGCGCAGACATAATTAGTCTTTTCGAATAAGACTAAGTCGTGAATGGTATTGTGGATCTCGACAGATAAATTTCCAATGAGACTAGTGTCAGATAAAGATAGACGCGTGGTAATCAAAATAATGAGAAGATATTGCAAATGGATATGTAACACATTGGATTGAGCCTGACATGATACCGGGGTACGGAGTTTTAGTGCATGATGCCTGGATTCCGTGCATGTAGTATAGATTGCTTGGGCTCAAATAAGGTGGAATGTGCTGATCAACTTATAAGATTCCATTGTCATAGGGCTTGAAGACTACAAGCCTGATGTAGGCATTTCAGGAGATTCCAATGCACTTGGGGACGTGCTTCTTTGACAACCATTGAACAGCACTGTTTCCAAAACAGCCAAAAACTGTGATAGGGGAACAAGTTCCTGAATACCACTCAAGGGGAGTCTGAGAGCACATACATACCTGGTCGGAGTGTGATAAAAACAGTCTGATCGTGGAGCGACCGACTGAGGATATTGGATTGGATGATACTGAATTATTCATTCAAAGACAAGTGATGGCCGACAGCATGTCGCCAACGTGGTTTTGATCACTATGATCTCAATGAGAAACCGCCGACTCGATGGTAACGCTGAGTCAACGTTAGTTGTCATAATAACAACGAGAAAAGGTATTCAGTATGGGAAGAGGCGAACAAAGATCATGGCGGGAGACCGGAGGTCAAGGACACCCGGACATCCCCTAAGCTGAAGGTAGTCCAATAGGCCAGTAGAGATGTTCACGCAAGCGACGGGTGAGATCGGCCAAGGTTAACCTGGGTGAGTAAATCCTATATCAACCCACGCACGCGCAACAGCAGCGCACTTCTACTCACAACACACTGGTGGTGTTTCCCCTATTAGTGATGAAATATCTGCAACCAAATTACCAAGCTCAACGAACAAAGCAACCATAAGAAGCACCTATCTGGGGAATGCCTTGAAGAAGGAAACGACAATTCTTATTTTTTTTGCACTGCGAAAACAGCATGTACTCTCTATAAACATCTGCCTAGGAAACAAGCACAGTGTGAATTATTCGTACTAATACCATCTTCTAGTGATTGTGGGAGAGCATGACACTGTGGCACGAACCAAATAACTGCCATCCCAATGGTTGACAGTTTCATCTAGTTTGTTAGGCGAAGTGAAGCCCAATGGATTCATGCAAAACAGATGATGATCAGCATATGGTTGAACGCACTGTATTATTCGTTCAGTCGGCTAAGATGTCTTTACTTCCCGCTTTGGTGAAGTGTTTATTCTTCGTCCAGTTGACTGAGGCTGTGCATCATAGCGAAGCAGGATAGATCGGTTGAGAGATTGCAAAAGCTTATGTCGTTATTCGTAGTCAGGCATGACGCATATTTCAAAACAGTTAGTACATGAAGTAACCACTGAGTGAAGGTTGATTTGAGTAAAAGAGGATGGTTCACGTCGGAAAGAACCCTCTTTTAAAATCAGAGGCAAGACAAAACGGTGGTTCGTTGAGCTTGAAGGAAAATATGGGCAGTTTTGCTCAACGGAATAATTTGCCTGGGATGCAGATAATACATTCTCTAATCTTGTCGGTTCGCAAAATCTAGATTTAATCCAAAAGTAGCTTGAAAATAATTTTTTTATTTGTGTTAGATTCTGCTTTGTTCTGGGCCTGAACCCCCTGTTAGACAGTATGGTGTATAGTAAGCGTATTCTACCGATAGAAGGGATCTAGCCAGTAAAGTTCACATAGGCTGATATCGGTTCTAGAAAGAGAAATTGTCGGTTGACCAACCGATTGAATTCCTAAAATAAAAAGTGTTGTGGACAAATTAGTTACATCTGATAAGTGCTGACTGATGTTTAGCTATTGTGAAATGCCGGCTAAACTAAAACAACGTGTGAAATTTTTGGACATGCTCTTTGTCGTTCTTCGAAAGGTGGACATAGACCGACGTGAGAGCATTCATAATTACTTTGGAATTGTTTAAAATTGAGCATTCTGGTGAGACTCAGAGTAAGAAGCATCTACCCCGAGGGCAAAATAGCTTCAGTAATGATCGTGTGGTGTACAACTTTGAACAGTGAAATCTCACCTGTCTACGGGTTTGAGGCCAGCCATGCAAAGATGGATGTTGTACTCGATAGTCGATGGACCGAAACAAAACAACAAGAATGGTCCACACCTGTTCATTAGTGAGCGCCATGGGAAAAGGGCTTTCGCCTGATCGTCACGAGCCTCGAGTGGCTCAGGGACGTTCATTTCAATCGCATTTAGGCATGGTCGTTGAACGTCGGATAATTCTGACAATGGAAAATGACTGTTTTCCACCACTTCCTGTAGAAAATAGCATAGGAAAGGAAAAGTATCAGGGTAAACCTTGTACGTCAAGAATTTGGAATGGTCGAGATCTACTAGGGATTTCTTGAGTCCCACGGTTAAGAATGCGTACATTTCATAACCACTTTTGTGTATTTGATTACTCGATAAGCATGCTGCTAGACTGACTAGGTTTGTTGACAGATTCAGCTTGGAAATCGAAATCATATCAACGTTGCCAACCGCTGATGTTTGACCAGCGCCTCACGTGAGCGTCTGCCTTGTCACATGCGACCCATGCTATTGCTTGAGGGACAACAATGACCGAACACCGCTACTTTGATTTTATGTATCCTATCTGATTAAAAATGTGCACATTTCGAACACCTAAGCTACTCTGCTCGCTGTGTGAGATTCTGACCGGTCCTTCTCTGGATTGCCTCATCCTTGGACACTTCGGCCTGAGAGACCTAGCGATATTCAAACTCCTGTATTCCTATCGGAATTACCATTGGACAATGGGCAACCTATGCGAGATAATCAACTTTTTTTTAACTATTCATCTAACCTTCTGTCCTCCGTTCCTCAACATGTTAATACTTAGTTACAGGAAGTTGATTTTCTTACAGGTTGGATTACCTGTTAAACCGTAGGAGCTTCTGACATACTGCACCAGTTTAGAGGGAAATACTGGATCTAATTGATAGGCTGACTTATTGTGCGGTCATATGGACGATTCTCGATCGTTCTCTGTCAAGTAAAAAACCAAGAGAGGTCATACCATTCAAATGGACGGTTGGTGTTGCTTCCAATCAGTAACCCTCTTTCGTTATACGCCTTGACTATTCTATCATACCTTATAGGCTTCAACATTTCCTGCAGCAAGAAATGTTTCGCGCAGAATTGTTCGCATACAAACATCAAACTGCAGAAACATCACGTCCCGTCTCAGATCCAACATTTGAATAACTTGTTCTGGATCAGTCGGATCCGGAAGACGATTGATCTGATACTGGATCTCCCGAAGTTCGGTAGCTGTTGAAGGAAATTTCAAATGTAATGGGAAATAAGTAGTGACACACTGAGTAAAAACATCAAAAGTAACATGCAAACAAACTGAACGATCAACGGCCGACTTACCCAACATGGACATTGGCCCACCGTCAAAGTCACTCAAATCCTCTGGGAGGTAAAATCAACTCTAACTAGTAAGACTGAAGCTAACAACAACGAAACATTGAGACTCTATGTACATATTTATTCATTTGGACGCATCGTCTGGCGATAGATGCACAATTTTAATGAATAATTTCTTTCAGATTTCGTAGGCAATCTCTCAACTATCTGCATGCGTTTCAAGCCTAGTCCACCACCTCGACAACCACTAGGTCTTGCGTTAGAAAGGATGATTACTTGTAATAAATCATCTGGCTTTTCAGCAATAGCTTTACAACTTCGTCAAGCAGTTAATACAATTGACTTTCCAATAACCCGTCCTAGTTTAATGTGCTCTCCTCCGAGTCACGCTGGGCGATGAAAGTTTGTATTGACAAACGTTTTTGAAAAGAACTTACCGATGATTTGATCAACCACTAGACTGCGTCCATGAACGCTTAGGTCGAGTGGAGTGACTGATAAGGCGGGAGAGGAAAGGGCCATATTCATGCTTGGGATAGTTCCGGCAGAAGACAACTGTGCTACAAACGTTTCGGCGCTCGTAGTCCCTGCAATATTGGCTGCGACCTCAGCGGCTGTTGGTAGAGCGCCACGAGTTGCGGTACGCCATTGCTGACCACCGTGCTGTAAGAAAATAGTGCAAAGCGTCAGTAACGGTAGTCGGTTCTCTTTATGGCGGACTGCGCGCGCGGGTTTTCTGTCTTTCAGTTCGCCTTAATTAAACATTTGGAGGCGATGAAACTCTTAGTGACGTATTTCGACAAATACACTCATTCGTATATCAGTTTGGATTTGACGGGTGACTCACCTTGAACCCAGCTGAATCTGTCGTTTATGCCGTTTTTAAGCGACTGAATATGCTGCACGCGGCCACCTCATTTTTTAGTTGGTACCCTATTCGAGATACCGAAATACCTTGTTTGGACACAATACATTGTTCATAAGGTTGCTGGAAACTCTTCAACAGCCATTCTCGGGACTCCTCGGGTAGACTCAATCCCCGAGTTTCGGTCAACCTTATGTTGTATTCGAACCCAAATTCGACAAGCTTTAATAAATACAGCCATGTGAATTAAATTCTTTGAGAACAGCATAAACGAGAGATTACGCTGGCTTCCGGGTGAGTATGCCGTCAAAACCAAATTGATATGCAAATGAGTGTATTTGTTGAAATATGTTCAATTTGGATTCAAGTAGAGCAAAAGGTTGACGGAAACCCCGGGACTGCGCCTACCTGCTGAGCCCCAGAGCGGTTAAGCCGGTCGTGGGCTGTCAAAGAGTTTTCAGCAACCTTATCAGTAATGTATTGCGTCTGTGCTAGTAACATGGTTTCAGAAGGGCTTGGTAAACAATCGGTAATTTTTAACTAGACAATGTTTCGTTTTTTGACACGAAAACTTCATTAGGCCACCAAGTTCGTCGGGTTCCAAGGCAAACAGAGAACCAAACAGTGAGACCTATTCCGATTGGCATACTCGATCAACGTGGAATGTCAGTTAAAGGGTCTTGTCGGTTGGTGTGTTTCCCTAAATCTGGCGTTAATGGTTTGGGGAAGTTTCGTTTCTTATCTTTCACTTCAGGGAGCTCCAATTGGTGATTCACCCCGGGTGCCACTGGTTGATTTCGTCGGTCTATGTGGGCTTGTAAGTGCTACTACAAATTCGTTCGAGGGGAGGAAGTTGGGTGAGACTGAGTGCAATTGAGATATAAGCTACGTCTATTGATGGCTCATTTTTCTGATAACCACACAGCACCACGTGTCAGCTCGACTGAGCTAAAGCCGTTCTCCACAGAATAGTCAGTTCTACGCCGTCTATTCTATCAACACTGGGAGGCATGGTGGTTTCCACCGCCTCGCGACAGTCTCCATGGCGTGGATCATAGTTCCCCGGTCTCAAAACACCAACATTTTCTGCATTTGCTTCTTGTCCCATGTTCACTGAATCTTGAACCATTGCTCAGCCACTTAGTGACGCTCGATATTGATTTGCGTTTCTCGGTGTTTTGATTATTTTTGGTGTTAGATTCCGTCGTCCGTCCTTCACAGACCTTAGTGCAGTCCAAGCAATTAATTATGTATACACAGTCCTCGGTTGTGTTCTCTGAGGCGATTCTCCGGTTGCATCTGTGCAGAGTTCAAAGTATATCCTTTCTGGAAAGCTACTCTTATGTTAGCCGTGCTTAGAGTCCTAATGACTTCCAATGTCTTTGGTTTATATGGTATAACAACAGTCCGAATCCATTCTTTGTTGGGTTCCGCCACCGGTACCAACACCCCTGTAATTGATGCCTAATCAAACTAGCTGGATATCCGCTATCCTTAAGTTTGTTTTTTACTTCAATTTGGACCGCTGTCCGATCAACTTCTGTTCACAGGGCGCTTACACACCCAAGCATCGATGATGCAATAGAAGCGAATACCGATTTCGGATGGGCAGACGAGTAGTTCAAAACTGCCCCAGTGTCAGTTGACTTCTTGAGCATTGTTGTTTTTAGTTTTCCGAACATGGGTCATACTGAATCAGAACAGCAGTGTGCCCGACGTAGACTCTATCTCCATACTAAATTTGATGTATGGAGTCACGTCATTCAGATGGATGTCAAACTCAATGGATTTGTCTCGTGTCCTCACGACGAAAGCATCCGTGATATAAGCTCAGAGTATCTTGGGTTGGAATTGGAGTGCGGCTAAATATTTCTGTTGAAAACTTCACAAAAATATTCTGAGGAAGTTTTGTCAACAAATCAAGATAATGTGATCTGGTGTGGCGTTTGGATCACAGTCCATACATTGCATACTCCTACTCCTGATGAATCCAGGCCTAAAGTGAATCGTCACGGGTACAACGTATGCCACGAGAGAAGTTTGCTAGTTTAACATAAGTGCCTATCTTCAAACACCAATCAATCGAGCAAATGTTAATGAGTGCTCCTTTACAATTGAAGTGCTTCCTTTCACTTCTCGCTGTGTTAGACCTGCAAGCTTCCCTGAGTTTTGACTTATTGATATGGATATCAACAGTGTGGTATGGTCAGAAGATTTTCATGGAGTCGTTTAAACAGAAAATACTTGTCGTATTGATTGATTGAATTAATCACCATCTACGTCTCCTATGTCTACCACATCGTAGGCGGAGGATTGAGGGGGGTAAAAACCAAGGAAGGGTCTGTTGTGTGGAAACCTATTAAAGTGAGTGGTTCGCCAATACGAAACATCACAATGCAGCCGCTAGTCGTTTGATCTCAAATCCACAGTACGCTTGGAGAAGAGACCTATACATCCTAGGAAAATGGGACTAGCTGAGAAGGACGAACTGCAGAGAGCTAGAAATGTCTTCCCATGCCATGCAGTAGCAACTTTGGCATATATCCCCGGTAAAATGCAGCACAGTCGAGACATTAAACGCGGCATATCGATTTCACAACCGCCAAAGGTAACCTCTTAAGGTCTAAATCTTTTCGTGACAACTGTGTTCGAATGTTATGCAACGTAGCCAAGGGTGGGATGCTAGAAAATCGACCGGGTGATGGATGAAATGAAAATACAAACTAATTTAGCTTCTAACGACCAAAGTCTCGTTGAAATGCGTGTGTAAGTTAGTAGAACAGAACCCTTGATAATGCTAACAGCTGCCATGTTCTCGGAAGCATTACAGGGTAATGGACACACTTTCCACGAAAGATGATGTCAATATGACGTAGTTTACATATCAACCATTCAAAAGTCTTTAAGATGCAACCGATGTGTTCAGGTCCGTGGAAAATCAATGAAATGATTTTTCATCTTCTCGGTCTGTCATGTCAGAAGTATTCTGGTGGGATGCGTGGCTTTTTGTTGAGCATTTGTGTGAGCCCCTGAAGGGAAATGCTACACTTGAGGATATCTTCATCCTCCTTTTGGATGCCTCATAGAGGAGTTTTGCTGTACCTGGTAACCAAGATGATACCGTGGAAAGAACACAAAAATGAGCCCCGAAAACTCAGTGGTAATGGATCCTGGCGTCACGAGTTTGCATAGAGTACAATCTGCAATTGAAATACGTGGCATAACTCTTTCATCGTATTACACCAGGAAAACCAAATCGAACATCGCAATCGAGCACTGACACACTGGTAATTCGGTACGTTCCTCGTATCAGGATTTACAACATTACAACATTGCGGAGGAACTTCCGCAAACGGGTCTGTTTAACTCAAAAAAGTTGCAATGTGATTTACCTTTTGTGAGCCGGCGATAACCTGTTGTCGTTGTTCAGGCGTAATTTTCGCCGAACTAATTCCAAGACGAGCATAAGCGATCAGATAATGTAGGATATCATGCAGTACACACGCGAGTCGAGCCATGCGCTGGAGTGCCTTCGTGCATGACAGATCATCCAAGTGTCGGAATATGAACAACACTTCAATAAAATGTGGAATGAACCAGAAATTGTAAAGTTTTGTGCCATCTGTTGAGAGAACTCGTCTTGGCCGTGTGCGGAGGGTCCTTGGATCGGTCACTTGCACGTCAAGGTCATCTTCTGGGTTCTTTTTCTCGAACGCATAACCAATTACGAAGAAGTCCTCACTGATAAATAAAAGACAAAATAGTAGTTGAGTCACGCATTGCGCACACGAAACCGTTAGGCAGTAGGAGATGACAAGATTACACAGTGGGCAATTCACATAGACCGTGGTTCCCATTCGACCTCATAGTGACTTTATGACCGTGGGAAACCAAAAAGTGTATCTGGATGATGACTACTTGAAGAATGATTTCCTCTGTGTCTAAGCTGATGCTGAAGCATAAAATGGCGTTCGAGCTATCTGAAATTCCATCCGGACCACTTACTTTTCCTCACCCTAATGGCCTCTCAAACCAGGTTGTCAGTTGACTCAAGCGAGGCAAAAATACGTGCAGGAGAAATGGATCAAAACGCAAAAGGGATGTGCTATTTGATGGGTTCAAACGGGAACATGAGCCATGTTCCACGCAAACGAAATTTGTACAAAATAAGTCATTTTCCATGGAGACCATCTATATTGAAAAGTCGAGCACTGTACAGCTGTTTCATCCTTATTAGGAATCTTCAGCAGTGCGCATCTCACGAAACTCAAAGGAGTCTCGGACTTTCGAAGACGGGACTAGTAGCGTGAACAGTTAACCATTCGACTACGATCGACTGAACAGCAGTGTGATTATCTCGCGCTTAGGATATCGAGCCACTCATCCTTCAATCCAAATCACGCGGTCACGTACTGACAGGCGTATTGAGTGCTACCCGGATCGACTGTACTTACAGAACGAAATCTCTATCAAAATTCTCAAATATCCCCTAACTGCCAACGGGTCGTTTCCAGAAGGTGATGAAATCCTATGTGGAAGTGACTCGAAGGGTTGGCACAGGGAGCAGTCAAACAACATTAATGTATTCTGGTGGACAAATATATATATATATATATATATACTGTATGTATACAAATAGGTGGGTTCGACCCTTCGCAAAGAGCGGTGCAGTATGTTCATGGTTGACTTGTAATAGGGTATAACTTCAGTAACATTCACATAATAGATGGTGCTTTCTGTCCCGGGAACAAGCTGAAAACCAAAGTTCATCGTTCGTTGACGCTGTCAAGCCACTCAGTGTGAGCGCTGCGTGCCGCCGAATAAATCTCGCATCGAATAATAACCGAAAAGTCATGACATTATGGACTTACGTTACTGTGGGAACTTTCTCCAAGATTGTTAGGATTGAGCTATAGGTAGAAATAATTTGCGCCCGCAGTGAAATGTGCTGAGTTCGCTGACCAAAGTCCATGCAAAATTGTGAAATGAACTCTCTGTTGGTGTTGAAAAAAAGAAAGTGTCTGAGGAAATCAGGCACTGTATTTGGAAAATTCATACCTCATAAGAGCATAAACGTAACATACAGAGCGGGAGGAGACTGACAGTTGATTTCCTGTCACGTTCTGTTATCCAAGAATGGTATGTCTTTCAGTTCACACTAGATCTTCCACAGTCCTCTCAAAAGCATTTACTTTCGGTGGTTAGGTAATTCCAGTCCTTCATATGTGTGCTAGATCTGGTTACAACCGGTTTAGGATCCGATACAAGAAGAATATAACCAACTAATTTTACATCCCGTACTTTGTGAGGATGTAGCGATAATAGGTGTCCTCTGTACAGTCTAGAAGCTGCCACACTCCAGACAGACAACCAATTTACGGGAAAAATACCCAATATGGCTTCTGTCCCCTCAATACTATCACGAATCTTAGATAAGGAGGAGCAACGAAGCATAGGAAACAGAACAACCTGTCCAGTGCAAGGGATCGTCTTCTTGCGGTAGTTTTATGGTTCCAGGTTTATACACCTAACGGTAATTGGTGTTTTGTACCAAGAATCTTTCAGGCTATGAGCAACAGTCGTGCTTTCTAGATTTTTCGATTGATGAAGCGTAGAATCTCTGAAATGAGCGAATGAGTCCACAATGTGCACGCCATTCTGTTAGGACTCCTGAAACGTCAATGATAGGTTTTCTTTACAGCAACGCATGGATTTGGTGGATAATTCATTTGCTGCTGCAAAAGTTACTGGATTGTATATGGCCTACTGGGAGCTGGAGTACTCGAGCAACTGTGTTGAGTTCGAAATCACTGTGTTCCATCGCATGTTTTAACTGTTCCATCATCTCTTATAGTATGGCTAGGAAAATGTACATTTTCTGCTACGTGCACGGAAAACCCGGTCATTCCTCATGAATGCGATTACTCTGTCTAGAGAATGCGTCAGTCTACTTAATTTATGGCAATCGTTTTTAACCGGCTGATGAGAAGACTAACTTGGTTTTGTACTAATTGACCTAGCCGTTCAAGAACGGAATCCGTATTCAGTGTTCTCTGGGTTTATTGCTTTTTCAAATTTTTACCAAGTAGGTCATTCATTAAGATAGGCCCTCGAATCCTATTGCCACGCCTCCTCTGCAATCGTAGTTATCAGTCATTACGAAGTTGCCATACGAGTTGTACATGCCACTACATTCATGCAGACAATGTTGAGTCCTTTGGACTATCTGTTATTTTATGATAAGCGTGACCTGGCTTACACACATTACCGTTGTAAAATGACGTGCATACAATAGACTGGGCGGCCTTAACAATCCTAGGAGTGGGCTGCACTACAAAGTACCAGATTGTGAAAATTACCGTTTCATTTTCTCGCTCTCCACAGAGCTCTTCGAAGAAGCGATTCCACCACCTTGAGTGCGTTTGATAAACGCATTCTGCGTTCTGTCACGACTTGGAGACTAAGTGAAACAGAAGAAGAATGAAACGATATTGCCATGGCAATTAAAATCTTTAATGTGGAAAACCACTGAGTTTTGCAGCTGTTCTAATGGAGATCATCATCACAACCATAATTTGCGATACCCAAAGAATACATCAGACTTCATCAGAACTAATTATCCTACGGCACATTCTAAATGAGGTTTCATAAAGGAAATTCAAGTAAGCTACTCACGTGCTCCGCAAAACTTTTACAAGTGGAGTTTCACACGCACCACAGTTGCTGGCATTATCACTACGTGTATGTTCAGTTAAATTTAATCTTGTAACAGCAACCCTGGTGAAATGGCATGTGGCTTCGTATACATAAAGTCAAGGAAAATATGGTGTTGATCTCAATGCTACTGAGCTTTTTATTTCAAATCACTTTTCCGATCCTGATTCGCCAATTCTTACGGCATACCTTGATGATATGGCGAAACTCTCAGACCTCAAGGATCCGAAGCGACCAAAGGTGCAATTCAACCAAACGATGGTTTATGTGGACAATATGGGTTAGGTGTTGTGCAGTAGTCCAACCAGTGATAAATACCAAAGACAATGCGTAAGCAAGAGTTAACATTGCGAGGCACTGCGTGATTCAACAGAATCCTTCACCGCGCTTTATTGTAGCACTTTACTCGCCATAGGTGAAGCTGGTAATGCTGAAGTACTTTAGCATAGAAATTACAAAGGCAGTTGAGTGTCTCTGAGGTCTACGCAGCGACCCTAAAACTGGTGAAACGTCTGCAAAGGGAGGGTCAATTAGTGTACTTGAATACCCTCGAAGCTGAAACTACGGCATACGTTGAAGAGAAGAGTGTACAGGCTTCTCAATACATGCCATCTGGATGCTCCATAACTACCATTGTTGTTCTGTTACCCAACGCCCAGTCTGTTTGAGCGTTTGCTAGCAAGCCTGAGCGATTGCGACCGAGCTGGCGCTCGTGTTCAGACAGCTGAGAAGATGACTGATGACGGTTGTTTGTTCGTTGATCCCAGTGAACCGTTGGGCAAATAACTGGTTGGTTTCAGTGTACTGCGTAAATGTTACTAGGTAACTTCTGTTCAAATAGACTTCTGCATGTTAAAGTGGATGAAATTGGGAAATAAAAATAACCCAATGCTGATTCAGTACAACAAATCGAACATCCTACCTTCCTGGGCAATTATTGAGCCGGTGTGGACAGAAACTGATGCAGAAACACCTATTGCTGTTAGTGGTCACGAGATCATGTTTTCCGGTCAAAAATAGTTACAACAATGAGTTACATAAACGAGTAAGATCCAGCGTTGCCTTACTTACTTACTTAACCACATGTGAGCAATTAGCTTACCTTTTCCAACTGGATAGAAAAGAATGCCTCAGGATGATAATCGGCATTCAACTGGTGTTTTGATCGCTCCAGCGCCAAAGGTGTGGGCCCGACTTGCGTGCCGCTCAATCCCGTGTAACTGATTAGATTGGCTCCAGTGTTTGAAGGCCTTAGTATGCCGGTTCTGAATATTGATTGAATGATGCAAGTGGGTTATTTGATCAAGATGTGGTTGTTCATTATAATATGTTTTTATGTCGCTTACTCTTAAGTGAACACAATTATAAATCGTGGTACACATTCGATCCACAGGCCTATGACACAGGTGGATCTCAATGAAAATGCAATGTCAACAACGATTTTGCACAGTAGTCGTGATTTCGAAATGTGAGTAATCCACGCTTGTGATGGCCACACGAGGATTATTTGCTTCAAGCTGAATAGGAACTTATTACTAATAGTTTGCCTCATTCCACTGTGATAATTCACACTGAATGTTAGATGAAATGTTCCAATCCAGGCGTCAGGGAGGACGACAACTCATGCTCACTTGTTCGGCTGCTGGACTCACCTCCACATCGTACGTTCTCAAAGAAAGGCAAATTGCAATAACACATAAACTCAGTGATAACCTGAAAAAGGCTCGAATGTAGACGTACGCAGTCGGTAAGTGAATTACCTTTAGAATGCAAATTCACACATGCACCTAAAACACTTAACATCTGTCTTTTGAGTGAGCCCAAACTGTGTAGCCCCAAGACGATTGTGTGGTCATCTTTCAGGGCAGACTGCGTCCGGACACTTGATACGTTGCAAACCAACCGGATTTTGGTGTATTTTTTGAAACGCTAAAAGTAAACATGTGAAATTTCGATTAGATCTACTATTGCTCGCGGTTACTGTCATGCACGAAAATTCAGTAAATATGTGGTTATCCCAGGTGAAGTTTAATAAATGTCGTAGGGTGCCCAATCTGGAGTTGCACAATTTCGCAGACGAATCGGCAACCTTGATTGGGAGTGTTCACTTCAAAGATATTGGAGAGAAAATGCAACAAAAGTTACCGGATTAAGGGAGCTTTTCTCAGAACCTAGTTATATGACGGTCTTTACCATGCATATTGAAATTTGACCTCAAGAAATACGGCGTAAAGTGCACTGAAACGGTTTTCATAAATCAAATGAAAGGACTGATAAACTGCATTTTCTTACTTGGTTTTCGGCGCATGCATTGTATAGAAAGAGGGGCGGGCATTGTAGGCCAGCATGACGGATGCGGTGAGGGCATTCTTATGAGCAGTCTGTACTTTTAGGATTGTCAGCATATTTTCAACTCCACGTGTCTCGAGCATCTAAGGAATTTGAAATTGGACGAAATGAAATATTCAATCCCAGTTCTTAATGGAAGCTACCATCATCGATGATATGTAGATGCACCATACTTACCTCCATGATGGTCACTTTTCCTCGGAATGAAAACTTTCCTACGTGCGTTTCGTCTAATTCATGGATAGCAAGCGGAAGAGCTGATGGTAGAAACCTGGAGCATAAAAATAAGTCGGTGATGGATGAGATGAGAAGATAAATTGTGGCCGTGATAATAGAGATAAACTTTCCTCATCCACAAGCTAAGCACAGTTAACCTGCCTCGTACTCTCTTTGGTGTATCCGGTGGGCCGTCGAGTCCTAAACAAACAACATAACATCTGGACAGGGGAACCGTTCTCCAAAACGAACTAGATGGATTATGTGATTGAAAACTCTTGCTCTGTGCACTGTGGAAATAACCCTGAATTCCATGTATCCAGTAAATGTCAGTACTATGGACCAATGTAAAGAATATCAGTTTGCAAAAACATTGACCTCAGTGAAGTGGCAACCATGCAGCATACTGCAGTAGAAGTCACTACGAGCTCAGTCACTTGTTCATTCATGCCCCTATGACAGAGTAGTTGTTCAGCTGAGAAATACCTTTAAGCAGCTGAGTTTCAGCCGGACAAAGCAAGAATGCATGATTCCTTTTATTATTGGATACCCGTACCTGTGTGCTGCGAATAACTAACTGCTGAAGCAGTAGCAATTTTGGTCCAAACCCGCTAAAGCAGTGCGGGACAAAGCTCGCCCAAGCCGAGTGCTACTCTCATCGATTGAAGTGATCTTCAGGGTTAGTACTTGACACACGATATGAGTCTGTTGGGGTAGATATTTTTGTCATGTAGTACCAATACTATGAGGAGGTTTACAAACCGTATGAACCAAGACTGTATGCAAATATGTGGCAGTTTGTCTGTTCAGAAGCGTGGCTCTTTCTGGGATTGACAGTATCTGTCAGTTTCTACCAGAAAGTTTGGTAGCAATTATGCCCAACTTCATACACTCTAATCTGCTAACCGATTGTTCATTCTAATCCATTTTGCATTCGTAGCTGAATGGGAAGCAGAAACTGAGCATTTTCCCACAACACAGTTAGACCCGCGGAAGTTTACAAACAATTTAGAAGTCGGTGCGCTGTGGTTTATGAATCTTCGGAGTTATTACGAACTAGTCTCCCGTTATCATCAAGGTACTTAATTGAAACACACTCCTGCTAAACTTTTCGAAAAATGGACTGTTACTGTCATCGTCCACTACTGGTCGTCAGCTCTGTTTCAGACTAAATATCAGTTACCACAGACCGGTCCGCAACATGGCAGCAACTATGCTTACAAATAGAAGTGTGATAGTGGTGAGCATCGAAAGTTCGTTCTGACGAAGAGGTTATATGCAAACTGCTGGCCAATTTATCCTGACCCATACAAAAGTTGTTATAATCGCACTCTATGGACTGTGCATTAAATCAATACAAGGTGTCACTCTTTGCATGCTGGATAAGCTCCAGTTTGAACGTACGTGGATGAGATTTCCACGAGCAACCATGACACCATATAGAAATCAGTATATTGTTGGTTTGAGCGGTCCCGGCGGTCTGTTACCACGAGTTGAAATAATCCACATCTTCTTCGGGTATGCCAATGTGCCCTTAAGTGATCAATCATATTTCGGTACATACTATACATGAACTGACAGCGGATTTGGCGATATAGGCCCAGGTAGACGTTTGGCCTGAAAACTGACTTGTGTCAGATTTGAGTTATTACATAAAAGTTAGACCGCTTCACACCTAAATTCTACAGTTGTAACAAGTTCTTTGTCTGAGAAACGTGAGAACTCTTCACAAATGGATTGTATTATAAAGTAGACAGAAGTGGAAACATTTAATTCTTTATGAAAAGACGCAGTCGCTGCAAGGTTTCAATGAATTTTATCCTGAGTTTGACTGGGTTTAGCTCCGAGATGAGGACACGAACGGCTACAACCGTGCTTGAGGGTTGGTTGATGAGGAACAGTTCGCCAAAATGTTTCTGCGGCTTCTCAATACTATCAGTGCGATCACATTGATAATATCAGTCTAACCACCAAATTGCTAATATGTATGGTGTAAAAACATCAAAACGGAAAATATTTATTCGGCGAGGAGGTGAAGAAAATACTTTCTTTAGCCTTGTTAACATTAAGCGATAGACACCACTGGGAATTCATCACCCTTACCCCTATTTGTTAATTCCTCGAAAGAATTTGATGATTTTACAACTTAGATGAAATGCAATGAATGAAAAGTGTTTCGAATGCGAGAGGAGCTATTCAGATGCCGTAAAAAGCAGCGTCCGAGTGCTCATCAGGTGGCTGTATACAACAATCGACCAGGTAGTTGGGAGGTAACCTTCAGATAGGACGCAAGTGAAAATTAACGACAAATTGACAAGTTAATTAATCAATTAATTAATGTTAAAGTACTGCACAACTGATATGTCACCGAATATTTCGCCGCTGCGCAGCACAGAAGATTTCCAAGCGAACGATACAAAAGTTGTAGTCGGGATCAACCAGTATACCCTATCAAGAGCTATATGTGAACTAATCGACTGTATCCCAGTCTAATTCACCGCATAACCATGGTACACATGTATTGTTTAATAACCACAAACTTTTTTCATACTACGACTCGGTTGGCAGCCACTTTTTATCAGGCCTGCATCCTAAGACGCCGTTTATCTTCATCAGAGCCCATAAATTGGATATTGTAGTTTGTAGCAAATTTAAAAGTAGGCTGCAATATAATGGACAGCCGACCATGAGCTCTTGAAAATGAATCTCACCCTTATCCACTACTAATATCCTCTAATAAAAATAGTAAGAGATAGTGATGGTGAGGCAGATGAAACTCCTAAAGAGAAAGTAGTTCCTGTGAGGAGACTATTTTGTCACAAGAAACTATTTTGTTGTTTAAGTCCCCTCCTCCACTCCCCAAAAATCCGAGGTGATAATATACGGCTCTTACAATGACAGACCTATACTACAAGGGATAATACCTCAAAATAAATATTCTTTTTAATGTCCCTAAGGTAACTATTTTAGCGTTACGTTAACGGCTCTCATACGCACTACCCGTAAGCCATCCCCTCCAAGCAACGGATATTCACTTTTTTGAGCTCGTCAATCAAATATTGCGGGATATGCAGATTCACGATTTTTGAAAGCATACGGGCTCTTGCAATACAGGACGAGGCAACCTATCATCGAGTTCCTAATTGTTGTTTTCGGTGTTGGACTGGATGGATCGTGGCAACAATACATACTTTTTGTGGTTATTGTCTGAGTTCGGCCAACTGGTACGAAGTCCCCTCGTCCGGGCCAATCACTAAGCAGACACGTTAATGCGTTAACGTATGAATCGCCAGATACGGTTCTTGTTTTTGACCTACGAAGAAACGCCTACGTAGGTGGAACATTTCGAAACGCTGCATCGACGAATGGGTAATATACCAAACTAGAATAGAAGGCATAAAATTGCATGTACTGAGGTTGTTGTATTTGTTTCAATGGGGTCCATGTGTAGAATAATGGGCTTTTCAACTTCCACACAAATCTCAAGTGACTGCCTTGCTGTTTAACGTTAACTGCTTCCATAATAACACTACGCTACCGATCCTTTAACCGTGTGATTGACCGTATGGTTGACGTTCCGAATAATTCGCAGCTTGAACTACGAAATAGCTAAATGAACAATGCTAACAAAGAAGATTCGAACACATTGTCGTCAACTCCATCGGTTCACTTGAGTGGTTCAATTATAAACTTTCACAAAATCTTCTTTTTGCCGTATCTGGCCAAAGGACATAGAAGAAAGCTTACTTGTCTAACATTGAATCATCATCTTGTACCGCCGTTATATATATAGGTGGTCGGAGGTCATCTGCACCCTCTTTATACTTGGCCGCCTCGAATTGCAAAGGACGAATGAACAGGTGAAAGTCATCGAAACCCATTTCATGAGCCACTGTTAAGTATATTTTTGACAGTACTTCACACTCCCACATACAATCGATCAGACGATGCCGCAGCGTTACAAGATCTAGGAGGCGACCCAGTTCATTCAGCAGGTACATTTGTCTAGTCTTCTTGTCTCCTCGGGAATTGCGGTTCTGAATAGCTGCAAGGTGCTGATTGGACAGTTCACACATTTGGATGGCATCTTCGACAAAGTAGGAGGAGAATAGCTGTAAATTGTTACAGGATAATTGAACCGTCACGGGTTACCAAATAACTGATGGATCAGTAAACCCAATATTTTTCAGCAAAAAATAAGGCGCTTCTAGCCCATAAATTCACTATTGATTTCATAGGAAACATCTTTGGACAAACACATCATACGGAATGAACATGTATTAAATGGACTGATAGGTACACTCTTCAGCAATCATTTTGAAATGAAGCCAATCTGTTTCCAAAAGGAGCGCTTTCAAGACATTAGTCACGCCGCATAGAAGACAATCTTGCTGAGTTTATTTCCAAGGCCTTTCGCTGTGTTGGTGAAGCAGGAGATGTGGATAAACTTTTATGTATCAAAATCTATGTAGCGCATATTAAGTAAGCTTTCTAAAGGCACACTTTGCAGGCGAACATAGAATAGGGCAAACGGACCCATGTGCAAACGGGCGGGTGATATACTAGCCACAGTAATACTTCCAGAAGAAAATCGTTTTGTTGGATGCTAGAATATTTCCCTAACTGATGGCTTTTTTAGAGGTCTTCTCTTAGACACACTACTTCATCAAACTTTCTCTGGATTTTTATCATTAGCTTGGAACACTATACGGAGCTCAAGGGTACTCTCGTCCCATGGACATAACGGTTCAGGACGCCTGTCCACCACGAGCGTACACCATGTTTATTCTGTTGCCTGTTATCTGGCTGCCTAGCTTGCCGGAATGATAACGGGTGCACTCCGATATACGCCGGTGCCTACTTCATCAAAGCACTTGAGCTTGTGAATAATTTAGATCATATTAAAATGGCATGATTCTGACAACGTGATGAAGCTTGTCTGAGTAAACCGTGGCCTTCTAATTGGGCTTCTCTAGGTCATATCCCAAAAGTCTGCCACAGAAACAAGGATGAACCTGACCACTGTTTATCGAGCTTCCAAAAAATAAGGTAATCATTCAGGTCTGCATTCACTCAAACATACGGGGTCCACAAAATCATATTGCGGCATGGGCGGTCATCTCTGATATAATCAACCAGACCGAGGGTAACCTACAAACAAATACATAAAACCCCGAAGTCAAAAATTAACAGTTATCGGTTAACTTGGATACTAAGTACACAACTTTTTGGAGAAGTCTCTTGAAAAAATCACTTGTTTGCACCAGGACATAGAATTAGGCTATGGAGTAATGTCCCATGGTATCATAAGTCCAAGAACCGTCGTTGATTTGGTTGTGAAGGGCATCAAATTCTTTCATGCGGATAACCTATTAACATCTGGTTAGCATGGTTAAAACAGACACTACCAGACTAACAACACTTAAGTTTCTTAATAGTGTGGCAGTTGAAATCACTGCGGAATGGTCACTATGCTGATAGACGATAGAAAGTATTCGGGAAAATAAAGACTTCAAAACTAGTCACTTGTGAAATACGGGGCCAATTTGAGGCATAGAATTTTAGATCATCATTACCCAGGCAGCCGAAAAGCTCTACTATCCTATGGTATAAAGCAGAGGCAAAATCTTGTTTAGAACTGTCACTGCTGTATCACTACTGCACTGTGTATTTCAGATGGTGGAGTGTCAGTGATAGGTTCGAGATGAGGACTGGTAATGAGTGAAATTCACTATAACGGTACACTCGGTTACTGGTAATTTCTTTCCAAGGCGAACAATAAAATTAAAATGGAAAAGGACTTTGCCGATCTCACTGGGATCTGGTGATAGGGGGGTCCCCGTAATAGAGGCTTACGATTGGCGGAGCCTCAATTCTCACTTTGCTGGAAACAGATTCCATGTTCCTTGAGACTAAATGTGTGCAAAAACAAATAAAGTCATCGGATTGGCGAATACGTCCACGTACATCGCGCTGTAGCTGAGCTGTGTAGGATCCACCGAGTGGTTTAAGGGTTTCGACTTCGTAACGTAAAAAGTCATAAAATCGCTTCTCCAAAACAATCTCCTGCATCGGATGGTTCGGCGTGAAAAGCTCATATAGTTGCTGTACGCTTTGGTCCATTGCAGCGGCCAAACTCGGTGCGCAGGAGAGTGATGGATGGAATTCCAATAGATAAACAGGTGTCAGCAACGTTCTGTAAATGGAACAAAAAGGCAGATTCACAGTACGACGCGCACTTTGTTTAGCGATGAATTCAGGCAGTGCAAAGATTCCTGGTTCGAATAGAGGTTGTGACAGAAACTGGTATATTTTTCTTCTAAGAGAGGCTTTTTGTGTAGTACAGTGCCACTTCACTTCATTCAAGGAAAAGCACTCCAAGCGAAGGCCACTTAGGTACAGTCACTTGAGATCTGGTATGAAGTGAATGGTCGGATGTCTCCATAAATTATCGGTATGTGTTACATATACACTGTATGCTACAGATACTATATACTGCGTATCATAACTCAGAACATGAGGAAAATATTGGAACAAATGAATTGTAATCTATCCCGTGAACAGGCTTGTTGTTATTACTTAGACATTCAGCTGGCTGATTCTCTTCAAATTACCACATCATAAAGTGACGACCACTAAAACCATCAGGATTTCTTCGTCAGATCACCGTATATGTAATAGTTGAAAAGGGAGATTAGTGACCAAATAAGCAACTAAGATTTGTTATAAAATTTAAAAGACACAAGAACAAACCGTTGGCTTACAGTAAAATTCAAACCCTGTCTAACTGGGTGGTGTAAAAAAAAGTCTAAAGAGCCATTCAGGTAGGGTGTCAAACAATAAGTGGTTCTGCGGCTTTTGTCACCGAAATCCGTGTATCTACTGACCTCGTTGGGCAAGGTATTCTAAGACCAGGTTTAGTAAGCCTCTGTTTTGATGATTCAAATCGACAAGCACAGGCTACTTGTGGATTGGAATTAGTCTTGAAAAGCCACTTCGGTAGATTTGGCAGAGACTTTGTCTGAGTGCGTCTACATTATTATAAGAATTTCTCATCAGTAATACTAATGAAACGTAAAACCAAGTAGGGGGTTGATCCAGTTGAAGAGTGATGCTCTGGGGCTAGAAAAAAGAGCCCCATATATCTTCAACATCCAACAGCAACAGGGTCCCAATTTGTTGGAGGAACGAAAAAACTGTGCTCTTCAACATGCACGGAACACTTGAGGCTGTAAACAATTTTTACACCACTTCAAAATTAGGGGACAGTGATTCAGCCTGGTTTTTGACGTTTTTTGTTAGTAATGAGTTTATATTCCTCAGAACTGGTTCCGTGCCTTTTACAAATGACTACCATACTGAGTCGGGGAACCACAGAACGAGATATGGTTACTAGCTTCAAGCCAACTCATAGAAGGGCCAATCCCAAAACAAAGCACCTGCGAGGTGAACTGTATTGCATGTATGACCTACACATTAGACCCTCCGAGCTTCATCTAGAGCCTAAACGTATAATGCCTCAGTATTTTTCAATGAACAGGACATGTAGCGGACGCCCAAGCTGATTAGCGCATAAACGTCCACTGTCTCCCTCGCGATTTGTTTTTGTTCAACATGTCACAACTTGTATCAAGAAACAACACCGTGACGAATCCAAACTTCGGTCAACAACGGGTTCTGTGAACTCGTTAAAGGCATAACATGTTTTCACATTTTTTCATGGTCCACTCAACATAGGTAAGAGCAGAACACGACCAACCGACACTCACTCGGGACAACACACGTAGTCGATACACTCAGTATAACGGCCGACGCTCGGACAACGATGCTCGTCACTTCACACAGCACCTTGACCTGAGTCACTTCAGGCCTACGCACGACTCACTGTGCGGGGAAATGTCTGGGCTCAATATCGTTTGGAGTGAACGACAAGAAGCAGGCCAGACCTCAACACGCTCGGTCAAGACACCCTTTCAAAACAACTGCACCCAGCAAGCCTCAGCGTCGTCCACTGCAGAACTCGATAAGTCCCTTTTTGTGTGCAATCCGCTTGTAACACATAGTCTCTGCTGATCACTGTACATAATCTGTTTATTATTAGTGTTGTCCACCTTCTGACACAACCCGTAGTAAAATCCATAGTGCTGATAGACATACTCATGCATACGTCATAAAAACACGATAAGTAATGTAGTAATGTAAATAGTAGGGAGAATATAGTTCGTCCAATTTTCAGCGCAACCTATAAGTTGCTTTCACGGGCATCAGTAAACAGTACTCAAATCAGAACAGTTTGGGCATATGAACTAATTGATGAAAAATATAAACAAGCTAGTCACTAACTCATCTGAATGGACTGCGATCGGAAAGCGTTCCAATAGTGGTGGAGGTAGGCCGAATTCTGGTTTCTCCACATGAATCTTCTTCAAATACTCCCGTTGGTTTAATATCTTAACGGAGAGGAAAGAATAAAAGTGCGCCATCACAGATTTTCTTGTTAACCCTAGCGACAATGTTTCACAGAGTACAACTGAGTATTGTTCTTATTGACTGAGCGTTTGAGAGACGAATGTGGCATATTTTTGTTGGCCTTCCGGTTTGAATGTATGACAAGGTCAGATAAAATTCCTTCCCGAGTTAGCGCAAATAGGTATCCTAAATAAATGGCGATGTATTCTTGGCCTCAGCCATTTAGCAAAATGCACTCATATTGCTGATTGGTGGCCAAATTGGCTAATCACCTGTCATCCGTCTATACTCTAGAACCATACGTCCGGAACCACCACAAAAGATTCCAGGGCAAACGCGATGTTTATTGGGCACCTCCTCAACTGCTACTTTGTTTTTGATGGTCTTCGGAAGTTCGGGAATCCACGAAAAAATTTCGCTTCCGTTAGAAGCCACTTTTATACCGAAAAAATATCACATTCTCATGAACGGTTCATTAGACGCAGTAAAAGAAGATTACACCAAAAAATCTCTTTATCATCGAAAGTCTACGTAGTTTTTCATGCTGTGGACTGCATCATCTGCAACATATGAGGAGAAGGATACAACATCCCCCAGCTTGTTAACAGTTATGATCAGTCGAGTTCAAGGTCTCTTCCGCCCTGTCTCTTAGAAAATTTTACATTTCGACCATTCAGATAAAATCCGGCGAAACCTAGTTTCCTTTGCAAAAGTTACAGCATTATTCGCTTTCGTGGGGATGATTGTGAAAATAACCATCCTCCATTTACTAATTGCAGAGAATCCCTACTCTCATGGGTCTGGGATCTTCTCAATATATCATCAGTCACGAACTTGAGAGGGATGGTTGGTTCAAGAATCTTGTTGTCCTTAATTGATGTAGGCTACGTTGCGAAATACCGCCGTCAATTAACAACTTGCATGGGTGGAAGGTGGAAGTAATGCTTTAGATGTACATGTCATCCACTTCAGAATAGGTGTTGAAATACTAATGTTCTGCCCGGATCTCACCTACTTCCTCCACTTCGAAGTAAATTTATTATGTTCATTAGTACGATATTCAAGATATCTTGGGCTGTCAAAGAGTTTTCAGCAACCTTGTGAGTAGTTTCCTTTATGAAACTATCCCACGATATCTCGAATATCGTACCAACAGGAACATGGGGCGACCTATGTGAAGCACGTTCACCTGAAGACTATCACAAACAAGAGACTTAGTTGAGCCTCCCGTGAAATGCAAATTGATATGGAACTGAGTGTATTTGCCAAAAACTTCATCTTATTTTGTAAAAATCCTTGAACACTTAACCAACTCAAGTAATCGAAAGCCATGTTGAGAGTGAAACAAACCCTCGCTGTGATTCTTGTTTGTCCAATGAAGCTACCATTTGTTTTCTAGTGGCCTGCTGTAAAAGAGCCATGGTAAACTCTCTTCTTCAGTCAGTTCAATCAGAGTCAGCCGACTGCTTTCTGTTTAAAGTTCCGGACAGCATCCCATTTAGGAGGGATAAAGGTATTCGCAGTTAATATGTCATTCACCGGCTGGTAGTTAACACCTATAATCAGTCACAGGGTCGCCATATAATCAGGAATATTGCAACCTGAGTACTTGATGAAGACTGCTCAACCTACTTTGGAAGATAGTGTGTAGTTCGATTGCATCTAACTGTTTAGACGTTCGCGAGTAATTGTTTTTTTCCTCATGAACACCTGTCCACGAAGCTGGCAACTTGAAAGATTCGCACACAGGCTGGATAAGCAAAAAAGTCAAGTAAAACCATTGAGCCCGCCAATGGAACTCATGCCGATGGTGATTCGTAGACCGGTCAAAGCCTGCTGCCAGTATCTTGTCTGTCGTGCTTCCTTCGCCTCACATGTTAATTATATGCCCGAAGAACGTTTAGAGCGTTATTTGGCAGGTTCAAGATGTAAGTTAGTATTGGATACGTACTGACTGGCAGACCGTTCCCAAGGGGAAGAGAGGTTTATGGGTTCATCGCTTCAGAAGGGGATTGCAAACAATCGGTGGTTTTGTTACAGGTTTAGTTAACGCATGGTAAAACGTGCCACCCGTATTCGTCAGTTGATACCATTCAGTCTGGGTAAAGCGGGCATCCGAAACAGCCTGTAAACCGCTCTAGTACCCTCTGTTTTTTGGTCCACGCGTAAGCCAGGTGAGTGCTGTGTCAAACTTATCCATGAGTGTAGATGTTTTAAAAAACAGCTGTTCAGACCCACGTGATAAAATCCGAATTTTCAGGTCAGTTGGGTGGAACCCTCTCAAAGATTACAAAGACAAGGGAAAAACCTGGAACACCATTGTCGTTTGGATTTGGTTTATCGTCTTCAGCATTCATAGTGATGCAATGAAAACCTCAACCGATTAAAAAGAATTAGTCGCACCGCCACTTCTTGTGTGAATTAAGCAGCATCCCGTGATGAACTGTGCGATGCCTCTCAGTTGGATCATTTCGACTAGAGTTTCCTGGCCGTTGAAATATCAAATTACGTCATCCGTATTATAAAATTTTCCTTCAGATAGACACTTTCATTTGGAGAAGTGAGACCGCCAAGATTGCAACTTATACACCTCAGTTAGTCGACTATTTTACCGTTGACGCACTTGGTATAACACCTAGCCTTGTGGGTAGAAGTGCAAGCCACACATCATTGTCAACGACAGCATGACATCAGTGTTTAACACTGATGCTTTGCTGCCGTACAACAATGACTTATTTGAAAGCCTCATTGTGAAGAGAATAAAAACTGGGTGGAGAAATTCATAGACAAACGCTTTCTGGGTTAGGCCATTTTTTTCTAGTTGATTTCACATGATAAGGGACGCTCAAAATTCACCGTTATTTCCTGTCACCTGAAGTGCTTTTTGCGGTGAAAATTTGGTACTATGTTGGGACAGAAGCTACAGAATGTTGTATTTCAGTTCATCAGACCTGGCACTTCAGGGTGTGCAGTGTTAGCTGATGCTTTACTATATGTCCGGGGTGTTCGGGCTGCAAACAAGTGACATGTGGTCACAATTTTGGAATTTACTACCGGTTCTGGATAATTATAGTTCACTTACCTGGTGGTTCAAAATACAACGCATGATTTCCGTTCTTTGCCGCAAAATTGCACACTCATATCGGTAAGCCAGAACAAAGTATGATTCATTCAAATCCAGTCTTGGCCTCTGGTACATTAGATTGGTCATGATTTGTGCAAGGCGTCTTCTACTGTCCCTGGATATGATGTGACCATAAACTTCCATGTACACATCCATGAGCTGAAGTAGAACGGTGAGTAGTGGAAATGAGCTCCGAATTTGTGAACAGTTTACTTTAAGAAAGCATCCGTCACTGTGTTGAAACTATTTGTCCAATGATGCTTATGATCACATGAGAAATACCATACAGGTCAAAGATGAACACAAACAAAGATATTGAGACCGACAGACTGCACAATAACTTTCTACAGATTATTCAATTGTTGGATCATTGCATTACGGTATATATCCACCAGCCAGTTGTGTTGTTTAGACCTTGAATCTTTGATTAGGTCTATAAAGTAGACTTAAGGCTGGATATATCTTATTCTTTGGCTTAAACGTTTGACAGTCACTTCCTAATCTTAGTGTGTGGATACGACTAGTTACCATTACGCGTTAGTACAAAATGCTGTGCACTGTTGTATATATCACTAGTAGGTTTTTTTTAGACAAATTTGGTCGAACCGGACTAACAGGTCTGGTCGCATTCATAAGTCCCCCTTGATATGTTGTTGCGTACGTGAAAGACATGAGCAATTATATTTTCCCTGAAAATGTGCCTTGTGCTCACCCCATCCAGAAATTTCAATGGAGACTTTATTTTGTTAGTGGCATCGTTGCGTGCGGAAAAGCGGAGAAGAGACACCGTTCAGCCGTTTCATTGCGATTAGGAACTATCAGCTGTGCGCACCACATGAAAATCGAGGGCGTCTGGAATTCGCGAGCTCTGAACGAGTAGCTAGAACAATTGCTCACTCGATAGCTAACGGCTGAGTAGAAGTGTGATTAACTCGCAGTTTTAAAGAATCTTGGGACTCACATGGCCAGTCCATCGAGTGACGGCTTCTCAGAAGAAAGAAAGATTGGGACTACGTCCTGTGCAAGAGTGAGTTAGCCACACTGCTTATCAGGGGATAGCACTCAAGAGGCTTTCGAGCTCCAATCGACCTGGACATACGCACTACATATTCATAATAAGGCCGAAGAAGATGTAATGCTTCTCGGCCTTTCCACACAGATAGACTTCACTCACAGGACGTGACTTCCATGGAAAACTTCCAAATCCCCTCATACTATCAATATCTAGCATTTCGTCTAAATTTGACTGGAGCAGTAAAAACTACCATTCAGATCCAGCTTACAAGCTGGATCAAGCTTAATGTTCAAGCTTCAGGTAACTTCTGTCTATTCTGAGGGAACAGATTGTAAATAAACTATTGAATTTGAGGATGAAAAATTAGTAACATCATCCATATGTGTCTTGCACTATGCCAAAGACGCTGTATTACATTCGGCTGATACTTCATTCGAACTCGTCATAGATTTGTTAGGCGAAATGACCAGCATCTGGGCCGTTTCCACTCAGCTGCTTTCGAAACATCTGGTGATTGTGTAAGCAGGAAAGTCTGAGATGGCGTTTAAAAACCATCTGTCTGACGCTACTAAACTAGATAACGCATTATGTTTCCTCAAGTTTTTCTCAAGTTCGAGGAATGCACAGCGGTCTCCTAGGATAACATTAGCTCTAGGGTGTACCTAACCGGACTCCATAGTCCGGCCTCTATGTGTGCGTGTGTCTCTAGTCTATCCAAACGCAAAAGGTCCCGGATCTAGTCAACAAGTTCTGTAAATGTAATTCAAACCTTTTGCTTTGCCTGCTGGAATGCACATTCGTTGATCCATATGTCGTACAATACACCGAAACGATCAACATCCCGATGCGCATACCTCGCAATATCCAAGTCGCTCGATTGGGCCTAAATAGGAATGAAAGTTGAATAGAGTTTATAAAGTGAAACGCTTGGAACAATGATAAAAGGTAGAGTATTCTAGGTGAATTAATACAGACAGCAAGAAATTTTACCTAAAGACACTCACGAACTCATGAATTACGGAAACATGCCTACAAAGATAGTTTCACTTACCTTCTTGAAGAGCATCAGTGATTCGACAAAATTCGCCTTTTCGTGTTCTAATGAATCAATGATCATGGAGTATTCATCTGACCACTAGTCACGAAACTGCCAGAATATTGTTGCAAAATGGTCCAAACCATTCGCAGTTCGTATTCTGGCTCAGGTATTTCAATGTCCACCGACTGAAATCACAAGTTTCCGCGTCTTTGTTTCCATAGTCATGAAACCGGCACGCAGTTTCAACCACTTTTTTCTTCAGCACAGGTTAGCAAATTCTTAACTTAGAAAAAATGAACTTGAAAAATATCTGTACAAAACATTGGTACCAAAATAGGAACCCCGCCAATTTCAAAGAAACAAGGAGGACAATTAATGAATCCGTGAAGAACAAAATTATCAAACACTGTAACGACCTTGATTTGGACGTTGGGTCCCAATGAAACCGAACGCCTGGAATAATCCATTCAATGTGGCATCATTAAATAGGACATCCTACAAACGTACACACGTACAGCAAACCTCGAATTTTCAGATTTATGGGATGAGTGGAAAGACTCTACACCTGGGTTGGAAACTCCCCCAGGTTGGGACACAGGATAAGTGGCACACTTCCCACCGACCTCTGCACACGTGTCGAAATTTAGTTGGAGTTCTTCTTCCATTGCCTAGTAAGGACTGTTCTTGGTATGTCGAGGATCATAAAGAAAGACCCGGTGATCATGACACATATGCACACGGTCATTCAGTTTTCCTGGTACTAATGAGTTATCAGGCGTGAAGCGGCTCTGTTCTCATCACGAATGTAGAAACCTTAAGCTAATATAGAAAATTGTGTCATGTGGGCTAGATTCCCATAACAAAACAGTGGTGGTGAGGTGAATGGTCAAGAACGGAATAACTTGGTAGGCATTATTAATGGGCTCTGCTTAGTATCACAGAACAACATTTTGTGTCTTATTCGGAGCCCACTCATCCTCTCCCATGGAAACTGGGCAGAAAGAGGTGAGCTTGGTCACTTAATGTACTGGAATGATCGGATTAGAGCCTTCGTTGATTGAGCTAAAGATATGCCAAGTTACATGCTTTGTGTCAATCCCACTACATCACAAGACGTGATAAAGAAGCTAGAGGATAGCGGCACCCCAAATAATGTTCCAAAAGTCAGGAGTGAGACTCCATTTAATGACGTTCGTTACCATTGGGGACAGTTTCAGCAGAGCACTCTCTGAATAATCTTCGGAAACAAATTTTAAATCGTACAATTGAAAGGAAGAAGGCCTTCACTGCGGAGTTGTTTATTAGAAAATGCCAACTGACCGGTTAGAGACTATCGGACAAGGAAACAAAACTCTCATTTGCATCTTATTTACAAAAACTGGACATCCATTTTCTCCTCAAAGCGTCTTCTCGGACTTTCTTGAATATTCATTGACTCCAATCATTCATTGCTCAAATCCAATAAAATGTTACAAAGCGACTCCACAAACTCCGCAACAGATCTCCCCTTTTCAATAGACGCAAAGCGAAATTCCAAGAACAACAACATACTACTCGTATGTCCCCCCATCAGTAGTATCATCTTTACACAGGTATTCAGTAGCAGTAAAAAGCTGCGGGCAGCGGAGCATGAACATTAAAAGAGCAAATAGACAGACTGTCTGTTTTTTGGAAAAGCATTTGTTAAAACGAAAAACTGAATCACGTGATAATTCTTTGAAAAAGCTCACCTCTTGATTAACTCCTTTTTTCTTGGTGTTTGAAGACATCCGAGATTGACGGTCTCTCTGGATAAATGCCGTAGCCAACAAGAGTAAGTCTTGCTCCAGCTTGCTAGAAGTGTAAAATTGAAACACTGCTTGAAATTAGATGAAGATTCTCACCTGTATGCTTGTCCAATGAAAAAGATGCCATTCCATTCCTAGAGCTTTTCTGTATGCTCCAATGTGATCCAATGTGGCTGGTCAGCATGATCTCATCTGTCCTCTGATTGGTGTGAAAATCATGAGCCCCTTTGAGACCGTGTCACGCGTTATACACATGAATTTGGAATACAAACACAACGCATCAGAAGTGACACGGTAATTTAGGCAAGTTCAGGCATCACATCTGCACATAGTGTAACAGACACACACGCAAGCCATAGGGCATGTATGACTCTCACACCAACAACATAATTCATGACTGTGTTGTGCCAGTAGTTTCGATGTGTCAGTCACCCGTTCCTTGATAAAGGCCACCTCGGCAATCGTCGTGTGTGGTCACCATAGTTTTCACAATAAAACAACGGGTTACAGCTCCTGAACTCGTTCATTTCCTCCGAAATCACTTCGGCGATTACGTATCAATGGGACCGGTCTCCTAAAGACTATTTTCATATCTGTGAAGTGCTCACTGAGTTTAGTTACCAAGCCCATCGAACAAATCAACTTCAGGACCCGAGGTACTGCCGTTCTGGTCCAGACTGCGGCAAGGCAACGAAGGTTGGAGATGACTTAGCTATGTAGTCGTCATGGTAGCGTCGGTAGTCGAAGGTCAGCGCTGAGTCACTTCGTAAGCACACTGAGAGAGAGCTCTCCGCCTCTGCATTATCGATACTGCCTTACATGACATTGACAAAAGACGGCAAATGCAAACATGGTAGAAATTCAAGAAAAAAACGAAAGATATTGTGGCTAAAACGGTGAACGACATTAACAGGTGTCGTAATGAGACGCGGACCCAGTGGTTAAAATGCCATGCAGTTAAGACTATACAATCGGAATCAGCTTTCTTGGTCCAATGGAACATAGTCGATGTGGAGGAGGTTATCAAATCTCACTTGAAGTCTTCCAAAGCAGCGTCGTAGACTATCCAAAACCCGACTTGATCTCGAACGTGAATACGGCCTTCTTCATGGAAGTAAAAGTCATCGTGATTATCCACTTCTGCGAACTGCATAAATTCGGTCTCTTTGATTCTGATGGGATGGAGGAAAGTGTACAGTGAGGGATACGCAGAGGTTATACAACATGACTAGCAAGGTCGACGGTATATTTTGTCAAGCATTGCCTCCATACATTGGGCGAAAAAATGTAATCCCTTGGGCAGAGTGACATTTAATTTTGTGATCCAAAGAATGATTTCGAATAAGCAACTAGGAAAACTGAGTTCAATGTGACTGTGAATTTATTGAGATTCATCACCTAAAATTCAGTTGGTTGTGTCCATCAACAAATTGTCTCACAACGGCAACACACAGACCAGCTTATCATTCGATCGAACGGTTCCCAATTGTGCATGCAGTTAATGAGTTTGCCAAGATAAAAAACAGAGCGTACATACCTAATGAACTACTAGTTAGGTGAAACGTTTTCTCCGAGGTGTGTACTATGATAAACCGGGCAGTAATGTTAAACGCCAGGGGAAGATGTTGGACAAAAAACTAGAATAAGGATGTCATATTAGCGAAATCCACCCATTTGCACACCAACTTGAGCGTACATACCTAATGAACTACTAGTTAGGTGAAACGTTTTCTCCGAGGTGTGTACTATGATAAACCGGGCAGTAATGTTAAACGCCAGGGGAAGATGTTGGACAAAAAACTAGAATAAGGATGTCATATTAGCGAAATCCACCCATTTGCACACCAACTTGATTTCGACGTGAGACTCACCTGGAACCCAGCGATAGATTGCATAGACGTAATACACTGCTGACAAAGTTTCTGAAAACTATTCGACATGATTTCACATCACAGTTTGCATGACCGAGCTAACCAAAAAGTAGACACTGTTAAAGTGCGACTCATATTCTGAATCATATCCTCTTTGTTCTCAAAACAAATCAAGTTTAACCTTATTTTCAGGTACACGAAAGCGCTGAATTTCAGTAGGACAAGTTGGTAGAAGGTTAGGAATTTCAATGTCTCCCAACCTGGGAGGTCCTCCAAGACAGAGGAGGCAACATGTGGATCACGATAAAGCCTGAGTATTAGCATTATTCTGTGAGTATCCGAATCACCACGCCTTTGTCTGCACTAACTTAGTATGTTCTTCCTTGGTCACTTCGTCAATGATGGTAAACGTGTGACCATGACACCTGTGTGCTGTGAATTTGATTTCGGTCTTGTCTGTGGAATTCTACGTAAGTGAAAGCACAGCAAACTGCAGAAACTGTTTTCACAAGGGAAACTACTCACAAGGTTACTGAAAACTCTTCGACAGTCCACGACCGGTTTCACCCTTCCAGAAACTGTTGTTTACGTCTGGTGAGCCTCATCTACTAATGTTTTATGTGATCCTGCTACACTTGTTTGAGGGCTGTTCATATGACAGATATGAGACTCAAAAACGGACTGAAGAGGGGTCTAAGCTGCGGGACTGGCCGCAGAAGCAAGCAAGAGAATTTCGAATCGGACATTGGAATTGCTTAACCGGTTCGTGTACGCACGTTGCTTGTAGCTTCGTCTTCATAATTTTGAGAGTGATGAAGGCTGAATAAGTCTCGCATCAGCTTTTGATTTATCCATTGAACCAAGTGAATACTGATGAGTGAACAAACTGCTGTACCTGGATGGCAATTGGACCTCCAGGGGGACGTGAATATTGTCTGAGTAAGCAAAATCCGAGACTTTCCTCTGTCCACAAGTTACGTGAAAGAAAAACATGGTGAACACAGGTAATCTTTCAGTGGCTCGGAAGGTGCGTTGAAGTTCGCTAGGAATCTAACCACAAGCGAATAGTCAGAAGTGTTTACTAACTGTTCACCATCACTGCAAAAGAACAGATAATGTCGTGGGTTCAAAGTTTTTACATGTGGCAGTTACAAATCAGAAGTGGTCAGCTCTGATGCGGTGTGCTGTAGACTGCCATCCCTGAACCAGCCGCCTCATCCGGAATTATTGAAGTGTTTGTAGCGGATGAAGAACCACATTCTGTATTATGCATAATGCTTAAAAACATCATAGACGAGAAATCCAGCCGGGTTCCGGGTGAGTCCTTCGAAAAAAACAAATATGGTTGTAAATGAGTGTATTTCGCTAATTTCGCGCAATTTGGTCTCAAGTAGAATATAAGGCTGACGGAAACTTCCACCTGATGTGCCCCAATAAGGGCGACACCGGTCGCATGCTGTCGAAGAATTTCCTACAACATTATGAGTAGTGTATTACGTCTACACCCACAATGTTCTTCTTATGTCATTCAACCCTATNCCCTACAGATGTGGGAATACTCTCAACAATTATCTTCTCTAATGAATGATGCTCTGGTGAATAAAATTTTACAGAAAAGAGCAGACTTCTTGGGCTCGCATGTGATCGATTTTGGGAGAAGTGTTGTGATAAAATAGTCTAGTTGCCATTTAATAAAGCGGACACGCTGGAAGAGTCTGTTTTTTTAATACATTACTCTTGTATGTAACAGTGGTCTCTCAAAGACGACCGTGCGACTATCATATTTTCAAATTATTCCTTCCCACATAATTAATCCACATCTCCACTAACACGGAGTGGTTGGCAACTCTTAGGTTGCATCAGGTAGGAAGTACTGCACTCGTTTAAAAGTCATACGTATTCTTCGGTGAGTGGTGATGTGCGGATGTTAGGGGAGGTCAGCTGACCAAACGAACTTTTAATTGCACAGCAGGTGATAAAGCTGTGACTTGTAAAGGACAGTATTATTTACCCGATCATCATTAATCGTCAGTCATAAGGACAGCCCAAAATTAGATGTCGTTTCTTTTAATATCCTCTCGGTGCTAACTCAAAAGTGTAAGCTGGGGAACTCACACCTATACTATACCAAGCATTCCCTACAGAGAACTCGGAAATCCTATTAATTGGAAATTCTATTCACCGGTATTGTTTCTAAAAGTGCAGTTCATCCAGCTTAAAAGAGGTGACTGTCGTAAGACAAACAAAAAGAGAAGGTCCGAAAGAATATCGATGAACGTATCAATTTGGAATTACAATTCGCATGCATCCGGGGGGAGGCCACCAGAAAGGAATTACAATTATTCATTTACAGCACTATTCAATCTACCACAAAATGGTATCGTAAATAGCGTACAAAATAGGAATAGGGGAACAGGCGGATAGAAGCAACTCCCCTCTACAATCATCACTTTTTTATGCGGACGATGGTCCCGTCATATTTATGTCTTGACTACGTCATAATGATTGCACACAATTTCAGTAGTAACTCCTATTGTAAAATCATTTCTACAGCAACAGCCATAGTATTTGAAGAAAAAAGATGAAAATGTTTCAGGAAGACTTGCCACATCACGACATTTTCTTCAGAGCTTACCCTTTAGTAAGCTTTCCACACTGGTTGATACAAAAGGATATTTCTTCGATAAAGCCTGCCAAATGATGCGTTGTCAAACCAACACTCAGCATTGACAACTATGCAGCCACCGATCTTAGATGTCCACACAAGTACCGGTTGTATTTGCTAAGACATTGTAATGAATTATCATTCTCCACACTAAGCATTCTTCAAACTTGCCATTATTGGAGAGCGCAAGGTCCTCTTATAAAAATCTATATTGTGTAGCAGCTGATCCAAGACTAAGGACAGGAATAAAATGTGAAGTTTTGTGAATAATTAGTAACTAAGACCAAACGAATAAGTCCACAGTTGGACTATTCAGATGGTGTATTTACATGGTCATATTTCCTCACGGAAGAATGAATTTCTGTGAGGCCACATTGATCGAAAACTTGAGCGCCCCCCTAAGTATAATTATGAAGATATTAGTAGTGGGCTGAGAGCCGAGCCCAAACTCAAATGACCAGTTCGGTTATTGATTTCAGGGCTTGCTCNCGACAGTTGTGGGGTCAGGAATGCCTCCCACCAGTTAGGCCTGGTTTCAACGGGCTTGCCACTCAGCTCATTTTTTGATAGCAGTTCCCATGATCACACTTTAAGAACAGTTCATTAAATCACTGTCAGCCTTCAGATTTTAGGTAAATGTGTTGTTGACATTTTTTTCACGACAAACTCGAAACTCCAATTTATTTCCTAGACTTTTATTAGAACTGATCACCCACCAAAGTTTATCCGCAGACAGTAGAAGATATACACTGCTGCTAAGTCACCAAGCTCTGTGAATCGACCAAAACATTCTTACTTACACGGCTGTTACTCAGACGTAGCTTAAACCCTGAGTCAACCATCCGCAGTCACTCACTACCAACATAAATCACGAAAGTTCCGGCGACCACAGCAAGTGTAAACCAAGTTAGCCTCAAGAGAGGACTACCTTGCACCATGCAACCACACAATAAAAGGTCGGTTACCATCATTAACACGAGGACGAAAATCTGTTCATTTATTATAACACCTTGAACCATCAAAATAAGTTCATTTTGAAATGTTTGTCAGCGGCACATGAAATTACACCCATGGGCGTCGTGGTATGCAGGCGCACCGGACAAAATAGTGCTAATGCGGCAAACTGCGTTCAATCTTAACCACAGCACATTGGCATCCGGTATAAAAATATTATGTGGTCGACACCAAGCTCATGATTTGTTGGATTGTTCAGCTCTTCAGAAGTACTACAACCACAGTTACCCAGAATACCTATGGTTGTAAATAGCCAAAACTCAAGGACTTCCAGAAAAAGTCTTCGACCAATTGATTAAGTTTCTGAAGTTTAAACTTTCGCCGAAACGATGAAACTTGAATGCGGGAAAGAAAACAATTTGCCATGGCACCGGACGTTCCCGCATTTGTTGAACTCCTGTAGCCCTAAAACACTGGTGAAAAATTAAACACCAGCCCCCCGACCGTTCGCTTGCACTGATTTCTGTTCCATATGGTGAAGAGGGCATGCCGATCTTAAGACACTCTGGGGTGTAACAATCGGGCTTTGATAGTGCTTTGATAGTAGTTGTGATCCATCGGGCTAACGATTGCATAATGCAAATTCAGAATGTAGCTATGGCGACGGCAGGGTGACGCGGTTCAGAGCAGACTTCGATACCAGAAACATAGTCGCGATTCGACTGAAGACGAAAAGGCATATTTCGCCGTTTGTGACCACTGTAAAATAACTTTATATCTTTATATCTTTATATCTGTAGATATTGCGCTTTGTATAGATCATAAGAAATTGTGGCGCATTATTCCAATCGGTTCCGGTCCTCAGTAGTGTGGTTACACACGTCCGTTTTTAACAGTTGTCGTTAGCACCAAATTAGTGATAAACGATGCACTAAATCTCTAAAGGCCGACGCGGTATGTATATTCCACCTGGGAGATTATCACGAACATCGTTACCAATTAGCTTACATTCAAAGCCAATTAGTGCTACAGGAACCCAGCTACTGACTGAATTCAGACACACAGAGCAATCTACTTAGCATCCTGGCACATTTTTCTCCCAGTATAGTTTTAACATTTTTCGGACGGTTTAACAGCAAGACATTGTGCTTCTCCCTCTCCTGGATCCTAGAAACGGTTGGTACAATGAAAAACGGGGAAAGAAGTGGATGAGGTCAAAGAATATTGAGAGACCATTATGTTGAACACGTAACTGAAGGCCTTGCGTGGAGAATTTGGTGACTGCAAATGAAAATAAGCATAGTTCAGGGTCTATAGTCTGGTTTAGAAACAGTCTACAATCTAGAGAGCAGACTCACTGAACGCTTAGTCCTGTCTTATACCGATTGGTTAGATATAGCACGATCAGTAAGTTGGTACTTTTTTCCAAGACTTGTCAATGCTGACTTCAACTTCAAGTAGTCAGGACCGGATCCTATGAAACCAAGTGTTCGTCTTGTTTACTATTTAAGCTAAGTAGGTGAATCATTTCAAAGTCTTGGTTGGCGTTGATTTGAAATGAATGTTTTGTGAGATAAAACGCAGGGAGTATGTATGTGAACAATTAAATAAGTCTGGCAAGTGGCAGAAACTAACAGTGTTGAATGCCCATAGAGTGACCCACAGTTTCAGCATATCAGAAGATAAATACTCCGAATCGCTTGTAGGTAATGTCTCAAGAAAACACAAGCCCACAGAAATTCCTAGTTTCTGTCAATTTCCCTTCCTAATTTATGCCTTATTGTCATGAACGGTGACCTCATTTGCGAATGAAATGAGGTTTCTGAAAATACTGCTCCAATGGATTACTCAACCTATACTGGGGTCTCACCATAAAGGTGTCCACAGCTATCACTAGCAATAAAGTATCAAATAATCACTACTTTTTCTGGATTTTCTCACTGGGAAAAGGAAAATAATTAGGGTGAAGCTTCTCCCAGCCCCACCAGGCTTCGAGTAGACATTGCTTGAAATCCATAGACGTTATAATTTTTGCAACAGTACTCATTACACAACGTGCAGCCAACGGTTTAGCGATGCCGGAGTTCAGTTTAGAGGGATCTTCTTTATGTTTGCTAGTGCAGCACTTTTATTACGTTGTACATAACCAGGTAAGTTCCAGAACGCTGAAGCTATGTGAAAGAGAGTCCTTCTACAGTTGAAAAATGGTTCCTTCGGGTGGGGGTGAGTGGTGTCTTGCTTCATACAGACTTTTGGTTTCTACATGTGGGATGATTATTCCTCGATCAGCTGTAACGCTTTGATGTCACACATAGACATTATTGATATATCTCTTGCTGATTCCAATGTTATCTTCATTGCGTGTGAACAGCGGCCATATCGACAACAACAATAGAAACAAAGTACCAAATGATATGCAAATAAGCGATGCACAAATGGAGTGAAGGTAATCTAATGGCGGAACAGCGTTGCTGTTGGATACTAACGACCTGGTGACATGGGTGAGTTCGTATACACGTTCCATCCATAGTCGGTCCAGCGAATCCTGTGCACAAGCAAACTTTCAGTTTTGTAATCGCGTGTTATTTGCCAATGAAGACAGTAGTCGATAGATAACCAAATCTGCCCGATGCAAGCCCTGATCTCCACAGTTTGGTAAGAAACAACTGGGTACAGAAAAGCCAAGAATGAGAGAAGCAGCCATTATGTCCAACTAGACATAGTGAAACAGCTACTTAAATGAGAAGTCTGACCGCGGAGTTCTTTTCGTTCATACTGCGTATAACTGGACCTCCCATTATTGTCTGCCCGCGGAGTTCTTTTCGTTCATACTGCGTATAACTGGACCTCCCATTTATTGTCTGCCGAACCACTCTATACTTCTTGACGACCGTCTAAAGACCTTCTAAGTAACTACCTTGTCAATCATAGGTAAATGGGCCAAATTGAATTAGTTGTACAACCTTTAAAGGTCCTTCGAGAATGCTAGTGTACTATCTGATTGCGATTAGTTTTGTTCACCGTTGTGTTTGCTAATGCTTCCAGTGAACAACAGCTTCATGCTAGTTTTTCAGACTTCTTCACTCCCACTGATTCCGCAGAACGAAATCGAAACTGTTAATCTGTAACACCCTTGCGGTGCCTAGCTGCTATTTCACCCGAAGGAAGCACAACGGTTGGGATACTGTCAAACTGCTCAAGCCTAGACAGAAGTCGAGATCCATAGGCTAGGTCCGAACCACGAACCTTCCGGTCAGTGAATTTGTGCTCTAATCACCGAGCCACCCCAGCGAAAGAACGCAGTCTATTTGAATAACCACACAGGGAGTTCAAGCGCAAACAGCTTGCGGAAACCTATGGGTGAATATGTTTCTGAAGATCAGTCAACTTTAAAACTAGATTAAATATTCAAGTGAATCTGTCGGGCTAGAATAAAAGTTTGTGTTTAAGCTCTAGTGATTATTTTCCAATGGGTCTGCAGTAAGACTCTCCTCTTGAGTGGTTAGAGATCCAGTTTGGACGGATGTTATCGAATGACGCATATCAACACAAACAACCCCACAAATGAAGCCAGTTTGATTTCTCTTCTTTCACCTGCATTGCTACAAAGTGCTCACATCGAGTGACTGAGGTTTTTTTGTAGGACCAAGTTACTATTCATTGGTGATTTGGGTTACTAGGTGTAAAACAGGACTTTCAAATCTTCTTTTTGCCCAGCGCAATTCACTACCTCAGCCGGAAGTAGCCCTAATAATTATTTTTATTGATCCCAGGGTGTTTACTGTGACAGTGGGTGATAGAATAGTGAGTTAGGATAAGTATAGACTCTTATTATACATGGCAGTATGTAATGAGTAACTGGAAAACCAGGGCTAAATGGCCCGCTCTCGTTTTGGGTAGCGTAGCTATTTCTTTGAGAGTCGAGCCGCAGTAAACCTTACCTCATGGAATGTGTGCGCTGATTTAAAATGCATATTGGCCTTGCGCAATATCCACCTGGCAGTCCGTTAGTGCTGAATTTGTTTCCTAATCAGTGTCAGTGCATGGGGAATTCTAGCTGATTTTTAAGGTTTCACTTATTACTAGGGGTAGGGTCTGAATGAAGGTCAGAATTTTACAAAAACAAAATGCTGTGGGTTCAACCCCGGATCCCTCTTTTCTTGGGTCTGAAACGCATAAATTTTAGGTTCGCTCAAGTTGTACTCGGTTCTGTCGTCTTACTGATTAATCATGTAGTGCAAGTGCGGAGCATGTAAATACCACATTGAAGTTCTCAGTGTTGGTAATCTGTAGTCCAGTTGGGGCATAAAACTAATCCTGCTTCTGTTAACGATAAATGACACTTAGTTATGCGAAAACGTTGGTTGGATGACAATATAATTATCATAGTGAAGTAAACATGATCTACGTAACGTCAAAGAAGAGGGAGCCATGAACGTTTGTTGATGAGGTTACTAGATAACAAAGAGTGAAATTCACTAGTTGGGATGCGCCGATCAAAATTGGTCCCTGAACTGTCAGCTGAATTATCGTACTTAGGTCTTTCGACTTAAAATATTGGCATCTCGGAACCCTGGCAAGTAAATTCGTCAAGATTGAAGCCCAAGCCTAGTGAAAAGGGAACAGTTGCGTGCATTAGTTCCCTATGTTGTGATACTTAATGTAGAATAACAGTAGGCGAGTAATTGGCGATTTCGACTCAAGATTAACTTACTTGAATTCTTGAGGAGAGTTAAACAAATATCCATGACCGTCGATCGTGTTTCCCCCTCCTTTATGACCTTGAGCTTCGGTTCCAACACGGTGGTTGGGAGGGCTTCTGAGGTCGATAAGGACACAGGTAAGAAAATTAGTGGATTAAGTGCAAACAACATTTCAACGCTCAAATATCTAATATGGTATTAGCTGTTCAATTTTACTAAGTATCCTTGTTGTTTACTCGGAAGCTGCGAGTACATTTTCAGCAGTTTATCAAAGGCGACATCATGAATGTCCAAACATGAAAACTTACGTGCGTTCTACACCACCCCTGGAATTCATTGACAAACCTTGGTCGTTTATGGTCAATGTTCTTTCAATTGATCGGAAATAGTTCAACACGGAAATGCACTATAATGGATTGAGCAGGGTTAAGGAAAGAGATCAACCACCGCCTACCGTACGCATTACATCACGAAGTTTCAGGTGGCGCAAGTGTAGATAGGAGAGGTAGGCGCCTTGAACACTAGACGGATCGTCTTTGGCATTCGTAGCATCATCCAAACCCAACATTTGCATGGCTTGTGTAAAGTCATAGTCGTCTTGTCGTTTACCGGGCTCATCCGTATCTGCCGACGCTCTGAAATCCAATAAATTTTTTTTAGGAAATTTTAGCTCATTATGAGCTGGACAAAAGAGGAAAGACGATTGCCTAGTCTTCTGAGAAGAACTTGTGTACGCGTGTGCGTAATTTATTGTCTCGATTCGAGTGGATACATGCATAATGCCGTTTGTGACTTGGGATAAACCTGCTGCCTGGTGCTAACTAAATATCTGATTTGTGCTAACTGAGGTATTTGTCATTACCTTTTTTATGAATAGACGTGCACAACGGGTGAAAAATAATGAGACCATGAATTTAACTGAAAATGCGCATGCAACTGCAAGAGATTCCACGTTCCAGGGGAGATATATGGTGCTTCCGAACCGGCACAATTGGAACCACCAGCGACAGCAAAGATAATCAGAAACCGGTTACATGATTCAAACCTCTGAGTTTGGCAGAAACCTGTGCGACTTTCACACGTAGGGTGGTTTAAGAGCTATTCTAGTTGCACTACATGACTCGCTATCTAGCTGAATTTGATCCAGTGACTCTCTGGTCCATAAAATTATTTAGTGCTTGTCATATTTAGCACTCATCTTGCCTGAGCACTTAAGTGCTTTCTGGCTCCTGTCGTATAAATTTGTGAAGCATTAGCTAAAACAAACAGTTCTAGTAATCTTCGTGGTTATCACGAGAAAATAAAACTATCGTTCATTCTAACGTACTTATCACTGTTCTCACCTGGCTGTGCAGAAGACTAGCACCAAACTTTGGGATCTACTCACGCACCATGTATAACTTAGCTTGTAAAATTAACCTCAAACTGTATCCCCGACGTGCAGCATAAGTCATCCGTCACTTACTTGCCGAAGACGTCCGAGTTGTTGTAGATTTTTTTGAATATTTCTGCTGTGCTCTGTCCCTGACGATGCGACACCACAGATGCTGAATGGACAATTGGTGGATGTTGCACAAGCATTGCGTGGTGGCGTAAAGAATCTTGCACTTTCTAAAGAAGCGAATTTCAACAATGAAGAGCATTTGTAATGTTGAGGATGCAAAACAACACAAATTACCCAACTACAAGTGCATGTTTGCATTATGACATGGCGATGAGATGGTTGGGCATGGTGCCATTCGGTAGGTAAATAGGTAGGTAGGCAGGTAGGTAGACATTATTCAGACGGCGCAACAATCATTTTCTCCATCACGAATTGCACGTGTCGCACGGTGTTTTGGTCATCTGTTAACCAGAAACGCCTTGCACTACACTTAAATGGTCTAAAACAGTGTTATTAACCAGAAACGAGTGTGCACCTTCAGACAGCGCTTCAGGAAAAGTGATTTACCATTCCCGCGTAAAATTCACCCTTAAAATTTTAAATTTTTCACATGAGGTGCAATTTTTCTACCCATAGAGATAGCTCGGTGTTTGAGGTTTGAACTTATGGACCGAGGGTCCGTCGTTTGAAATAAACCTCAGCAACCCCGCTGCTCCTGCCCAGACTTGGGGAACCTGGCAGTATCGGCGGCATGAAAACTAGACACCGAGAGGATATCAAATAAGAGAGCCTATTTATTATCGGTTATTATTATTATTGGAAATTTGTAGGGTTACATCACCATGGAGGCCAAGAAATAACATCTATTCGTATCAGTGATATGGCAATAGACTAGCAAAATGCATCGTAAATTATCAAAAAAAACTAGGGACGCCGTCCTCAAAAGTTGTTCAGCGGCAGTAAGAAAAGTTGGCACTGTCTTTCTTTGATCTTCTGATTTTGTGTGCTCACGTGTTCATGGGCATTTACAGTCACCTTACATTTTAGCCATTTATATCATACTGATTTGTACAGGAACTGTTCTTTCATCTCGTACGTAATCAAGCCGAATGTGTAGGAACTTTCATCTCTTCCCACCGAATTCCTAATATCACATTGTAAGTTTTTGTTGATCAGGCGTATCACAAATAAGATAACGTGGAGTAATAAACTCTTCCGAAGTACTAACCTCCGGGGATTTCATTTTGAGAAAGTTCGCCGAGGCTTTGAGGAGGTCATCAACTACGGTCCCACTTCGAAGTTCCATGGTAAGCTTGACTAGGTATTCGTGACGTCTTGGTCGAAGCTTTACATAGGGTAACCAGTTGCTGGGTTTTCTCACAGCGCGTACCCAGCTGTCCAGACCCCACCGTTCAGAAGCAGACTGGGAATAATGGGAGAATTTAGAACGGGCGTGTTTGGTAAAGCAGCAGATTCACGCGGATAGCACAATGGCAGCATGCTCACAGACGCATTTTGTTTAGCATCACATGCGTACACACTAAAACGGGTTAGTAAAAGAGGAGTTCTAGATGAGTACAACCGTTACCATGTATACAAGTGAGGGCGACCAAGTCAACTTCAGTTGAGACTGTCTCTCTGAGTACCTCCTCTGAGACATGGCTCATGGGTTATATATCACGATGAGCCTCTTTAATGCGATGATCACAAACTGATCTACTAAAACCACAGAGTAAACAAACTCATTGGCAGGTTATAGGAGGAACTTGGTGGGTTCCGAAAGGAAATCACATTGTGAACTTATTTCATAAACGTTTTTTCGCCGAAAAACTCTTGTTCTAGGTGGTGCACAATATGCAGGAACACTTCAGATGAGTCACTTCCTGTTTAAGCCGTTAAAACTCATGTGGAAGGAAGGAAGCAGTTGATTTTTTTAATTTTCAATGTGTACCTTATTTCTCAAATGGAATCAACTTATTATGGATACGGGACAATAGTTTTACCTCTCTTGAGAAGCATCAGTAGTTTGAATTTCATGTTTGTCATGGGATAATGTGCTTTGAACTTATAGATGACAGCCACCTAGCCACGAGTAGTCAACTTTAATGCGCATAGTTTACAATCAGACAGAATGGAGCAAAATTATCTTACCATTTCATGCATGATAACACGTGATGAAGCTCATGGAATGGCTTCACTTTCAGGACCATCCTACTGGCGTAAAGAAAAAGCTCCGAAAGCCCCAAAGTCCTGCAAAAACCGCCAAAATATTCAAAAAGCCTCAAAGGTAGTGACTACTTTCAGGCTTCTAGCAACTTTCAAGCAAAATTTGGCTGCTCCCTTCTGGGAAACAGTTAGAAGTTTTCCTCCAGGAAAGCAGATGCTAACCACAACCCAAAAGAAACTGATAGGACCACACAAATAAAAAGAAACAGATAGATTAAGAACAAGAATGACGATTGTCGACATTACAGAGTTATGTATATCAAAAATCCATTCGAAATAAGTGTCACCTACTTTTGCGCTGTCATACGTTTTGAAGGTAAGCATTTCCTCTTGTCTACTGAATATCTGTCGAAACTTTCTGTTTATCACTGCAAACAACTCCATTTCGTCTGCTGATGAACGAATCGCTTGGATGTTCTGTCAAGGAAGAACAAAAGCTGAAGAATTACTTTCATTAATGTTGAGTTACCTGATTTATCTTTGAATCGAAAGTACTCAACGCTGACGTTGAAAAGTTACCTGATATTGTCGGGTTCGAAAACGACTGAAATAATTTAGCTCGTGGATTAGTATAAAGCACTATTATTATTAATCGGTGTTGGAACCTGATCAATTTGACAGTACTATTCAAATACAACTATACATACTCAATTCAGCCCTCACAACCTTTTTTAAGATGTATGAAAAGGAACGAACACCCGCAAAAAACGAACACCTATGACAGTCTTCCCTTATATTTCAAATCAACCATGTGGTATGGGGTGTGTGCATTCACTAGGTACAATGACAAAAACTGTAGCTGCACTCTCTATGAATAATTCGGCTTACCATTTGAATACCATAAGCGTGACAAAAGTAGACCAAATGCGGTCGAAGTGTTTCGAGGTCATTTGAGTGCAGTGGGGGGGCTGCGACCTTGTCATTCGTCACAATACCGCCACCACTGGATGCCAAATCCAAATTTGCTTTTGTAGGTTGCAAGGGAGCATTGGCACCAACTACAGCAGCGTGCATCATGGCTGGGGGCTGTGGAGCCTGTTCGGAAAAACGAAAATGACTTTGAGGATGTGGTGCAGAAGCAATCTCTGAGCCTCGTCCTTGCAGCGGATCATCAGAATCCTCCACGTTTGTTAGGGATTTTCGTTGAAATGACTTTTTTTTTGTTGAAGGCGGTAAACTGCGCGCAGTGGTGGCTGTGTTAGTCTCGTCAAACATGGATTCGTTCACGGCATGTGCCTGTTCCAGAGCTTTCAGTTCATCCAAAATCACACCGGCTTCAACAGGTTGGGATGGAGGAACTCCCGATTCACCCTTTTCACTGGAAGCACGCTGTCCAGAGCGCAAAGTTTCAGTTTCTTCCGCTATAAGTGCTTCACCTTCATCGGCACTCATCGAGTGCGCTGACATTTCACGTTCGACTGCCCCTTGCGTTTTCGTTAAATTCACTGTTGCCGCCTCAGTTCCGCCAGCTTCAGAACCACCGCGCGGTGCGACATTTGTGACATCTTCGCACAGAATATATGGATACTGTTTCTAAAACACATAAAAACGTTAGGATATTGGTAAAAATTGCCTAGGATTTAAAATACCAACCTCATTCAAAACCAGTTTAACGACCCTTGCTTTTTGAAAAAAGGCTCGCACAATTTTCAAGCCAGTATGTTTTGTAAAAAGAGCACAAACACAAACTCATCAGAGACTAACTAATAAGGACTTGAATTATGGCGGTATTTCTAGTAAAATAAACCAGTCCCTCAACGGGTGGATTGAAGCACGTGGGAAATGGAGGATTCTATCTATCTCGAAGATTTTGATTTCAGTCAAACCGTCAATAATCACTAGTGAAGATGCTCCACCAACAACCTCAGGAAGTGTCTGTTGGTCATTAGTCAGAATCGTTTAACTTTACGAACTACTCGGACATTAGCATTTCGCGTCTAAAGGGTTCAAAAACGGTAAGAGAACTGCTCCTACTTGAGAAACCAACAAGCGAGTAATACCCCGAAATATGGGGCCTTATTACATGGAACAGTCGATAGATTCTAGTCACTTGTCAATAGTGTCACTTTTGTGCTGGTCTCCAACTAGTGATCTTCGGAACAACTGTCGAATGACGCTCAATACAGCACTTGTATACTTGTCGCCGTGCCGCATCGCATAGTTCACAACAAATGAAAGAAAAAGGCAAGCCAGGCTAATTAAAAATCGTTCGTCACCGCTCAAGTGGGAAACAAAAGTGAAGATGTTTTATTGGAACTTAAATGTGTTGCCGCATGAAACTTTACGAAAAAACACAGAGACACAGGACACTAAATTTGAGCAGCCTACTTTACAATAAACAATGAGGAGGTTAATTTATCTCTCGAGTCGTAAACACTGGATGTCTTAATGAAGTGAGTATGGCAATGAAAGTATTAAAAATCTCTTGATATGGTTGATTTTCGAAGACGTTTGCTTGTGAAGGACCTCGAAACCTCGCAGAAAACCAGAACGGTATGGGCAACTCAGAGGAAGAGAACGAAGCGTGTGTTTCTTTCAAAAGAAAAGCCTGGCTTCCTAAAATTTTCCATTAGAGAGACCCATCGAGGAAGAATTCTCAAATGGTTGAAGAACTTTATTTGGGGTGGTTTCGTTCACAGACAGAACATTCGAGACAAAACACGTGCTGTGGATACTCACCGCATGTCAAAAAACAGACACTATCTATTGCGGGAATCCCTGATCCTCTAATCAAATTAAATGGAAGAGAAACTTTATCTAAATTTTTCGTTTATGGTATCTACCAAATAAGGAACAGCTTTGATGGGAAGAGTCTCAAAATGAGTAAAACTAGCAATGTGTTTTCCATGGTCTTCGTCGGCCTTATATGCAGCACGGATAATATAGGCCGATTTGACAAAAATTAACCACGCGTCATATGCTCAACAGACACCCTTACGGTGCATCTGAATTAATTAACTTCTAGGCTTTGTTTATTTGGAGCCTTGATCTACAGCAAATAAAAAACCCAACGGACATATGAAAACTCCATCTTCCAGCCACTGTTATGTTACACTTGGATGCCACGAGAAGAAAAACACATCGTGCGAATCCAGTGTGCAAAACTCATGGATCAATTTAAGGCCGGTCACGTTTGCACCAGTTGGCAAAAATACCTTCAGGACCCGGAAGACTTATATGCTCATATGAAGTAGCTTCTTCTGAGCGCACAAATAATCACCCCTTGATTTCTGGCTTTACTACTTGTTTTGAAATGTGCCGCATACGTGACAGTAAAGAATTGGCGGACTCGTATTGTTTGGATCATTCTGTTCCGTTTTGCTGAGATAAACTTGCTCTTTTTGGCAAGTCATAAACAGTTTTGCGCACAAGTCATCGATAAACATTTCTTACTGATACTTCAAAGATTAGATCAATAAAGAACCCCCTTTCACTAGGAGCTGACTGCCACTTGTGTCCCACTTTGGTTTAGATAAGTACAACTCAATTGAGTGCTTCTAATCTATTGAACCAACTAGGATCAAATCAGAAATAATGCTGAAAAGTGGTCGCGTTGTCCCAGTTTAAGTATTAGTCAGTGTACGTTACGTACTGTTGATTTGATTGCTAGAGAAATTTGCTGATGTGGAGGATCTTAAACAGTAAGAATTATACTGCAGTTTTACGCTCGATTGATGGAAGCTCCATTCATCATCATCATCATTGAAAGCAACACGGGGAAAACTGATGCTTCACTGTCGTAAAACACTTCAGTTCAGTGCAGTCAGCTAAGTTCTTCAACGCATAAAAGTATATTAAAGCTAAGCAATTCCAGCTGTAACCTCTTCGTTCACTGAGCGTGAGGGAAGTAAGCTTATTTGAATAAAACCTTACAGTGGAAAGAAACAATTTGCAACGGAAGGGTGGCTTCAGCGTTAGCCTACCGCAAAAGGACAGCCCACCTACACCTTCAGCAATCGGTCAGACTGTCTGATAGGCTGGGGCATGAATGCTACTGACGTCGGTTAGTTGGCATATATTTTAATATCTTTGGCCAACAACAGAACGCTGCATGTGGGGCTTATCCCGGAAGATGAAACGCGAGGATATCGACACAGCTTTTCGTAACGTTCTTCATTTCCGTCTTTTATATCTTATTCTGTCCACCTTCAGTCTTTCGTTACTCTAAAGTGGGCGCGAGAAACGACCCCGCAGGCGTAGCATACGGTTGGTTATTGTAAATTGCAGTGCTGACCAAATTCTTTGGGTGAAGCAAATGCTTTACCAAAGACTCATTTCCGGATTATCTTGCTGAAAATCCGCTGACTTTAGCCAATTTTAATAGTATGCTCAAATAATCGGTGATATATCCTAGCTCATCTACCCAAGATGATAGCCTCGCAGAAAATGCTGCGGTAAAAGCTAAAACAAACCGAAAATTGTCAACGCTATTTCTCCATTTGAAAGTTAGCCTAGACCAAAGTCTCTCTTCTGGGAAAGTAGTCCAACTGTTGTGAATACTGTGCTAAACGGGTCAGACTCAGAGGGTCAGGTCAACCGCGATCACCAGACGAATAGAATAGCTGTAACTAGCAAGCTGCTGTTGAGCTGCTCCAACCAAGTACCTATAGGTGGCAAGCTGCACTAAAAGCTGATAGGGTTAGCAATGGTAAATCTTGAATACCACTACCGAATGAAAAATCTACGGTTTGGTTTGTAAATGGCCAAAATTGAGGACATGTATGATAAATACATCAAAGATAGTTTTCTGAACGTCTCAGGTATGCAGATGACTGAATCACTTTTCAGTGGCAGAGAATGCTTGTTATGTGCAACACGACCGTCTTCTTTGATCTTGTATCCAGTTTCGCTGTTTCGTATTACGTTAGGCTCTTGAGACAAAAATAACTGGTTTCCATTTATCCGCTTCTTGCCGCTGAGTTAGCGTTCCACATAAGCAAGAGGCCAACTGAATTTAACAAGCACCTCATAATAAATTTTAATCAATCAGAAATGATTAGCGCCTGCGCAATATTGGCTTGTGTGTTTACCCAAAACTAAGCTCTATTTGAGTGATCATGCTGTTAGCTTACTATTCTATACAACAAACAACCGAAGCCTGAGCACTTACCATTTGCTTTGTTTAAGGCATACTCAGTTATCTAAGCCATAATGTTGCATGGTCTTGGTTGCAAGAGTATAACTTGGACCATAAGCAGTAAATATCGTGTTGACATATTGGATTTCATGACAAGTTGGTCCTGACACCGGTAGATCCCTCCGATATTTAGCGCTGCTGTCAACGGCTGGGCAAGTAAATTGGTAGTATTCATTTTGCTTGATGAAACCAAGATTTGTAGTCTAGTGTACATTAATAAGTGGACTCACAGACCAGCGAGCATCACCGCCACACCGGTTAAATTCGGTGAACTAATGAGGAACTTCTTGGAGAAAAATGATCGTATATGTTTGGGAATAAATCATACTTTTTCAGCCAGTAGATAGTATATTGTATTTGCAGCAGACAGTGCCCAGCTGAAGGAGTAAGAAAGAGTAATGTAATGGGGACTTTCGTAGACAGTGAAGTTCGTTTTGCAATAACTGGGTGTGAATAAAATGAAAAATGTGCTGACCTGGAAAGCAAATCGATATATATCTACACGGCGACACAAAAACTCTAAGGGACAATATCGTTTTCCCTCTGTTACGCTGAGAAGATTATTGCTGAAATACTTATTTATCATTATATTGCAAAAGTGTGTTTCTACGTCCCCAGGCTCAAAAATGTTCATCCGTTTTGGATCTTTTCCGGACCACCCGACGAAGAACACGTGCAACAGCTAAGCATGTTTCATTAGTTGCGACTGCATTCTTCATGAGCGTGTGCAAATATAATGAGTATTCGGGTGTAATGAAATACCCGGGCTGTAAAAAGCTGTTACTGTCAAATTACCGGCGGATAAGGTTTGTTCTCGGTTTATTGCATTTAACAGGTAATAATTTACGATTAGTGTGGTTTTATGTGCCATTAATCAATTATTAAATTAATTGATCGAACTAGTTATTCTCGAATGAAGAATCACTTGATAAGCGAGTGTGCAACTTCCGTAGTGCTGTTAGAGTTAATTACATCGGCTTTAAAAGACTAAACGTTGGCTCAAATATCAAACATAACCAGAAGGGATAAACAGTATTAAAAGTGATTTAAATTTGATAGGTTTTTAGGAAACATCGCTAGTGTCATATGCGCAATGCCTTTGTTTTTGTGGATGCTGTTGTAACCATGATCTTGTCACCCAGAGTGCGGTGAGGACTTTGTGCATTAAATCAAACAGCGCACACAGCAGCGTAATAAGTGAAGTTTGTTAACTTACAAGTAAAAAAACATACCTGAACACCCTTAGCTAGAAAATCAACCATGTATACGCTCAGTCCCTTTAAGTTCAGGGAAAAATAAAAAGTCTTCTTAGCTTTCGGTTAAACTTGTTGATGTTATTGTGGTGTTATTTTGGTGGTGTTGGTGGTGTTATTTTATGCTACATATTATCTTCACGTATCATGAAAGGCCCACAAATGGACACTGAAGATTGCCTGAGGCGCGCTGTGTACATGTTTTGCTAAAAAAAACTAAAATAAAAGCTATGGCTTGAAACAATGACTTGATTTAGGTGGCGTTAAGCTGGGGCTTTCTACAGCATGGTTTTGAATTGTGCAATTTTGTCACGTTAAATAATAATCTAGACTAATCTATGATAAATCGGTGGCAAGCCATCCTGAAGACAAAAACGTTTGCGTTCACAGACGGAAGCATATACCATGTTATTACACATTGCGGTTAAATATTTTCTGTTTCTGTAACTTTGATTCGGACGAGGAATTAGTCTTATATGGTTAGGCGGACAAAAGCTAGAAAAAACGAGAATCCTAATTTGAAGATTTCACCTTAAGCATCACCACATACGTCCAACTTTGGGAAAGTCGCAGAAAAAGCTTTTACTGGTCAGAGACCAGGAAAGTTCGAGGATCCAGTTCGTTAATCTCGGTTTCCACAAAATGTCTTATCCGACAGCGCAGTTATCTTTACATTCAATTCACCATGCGAGGTTGGTGCTTTTTTGGACGTTGTGGTGGTGTTTTCCACATAGGTTATAGGTAGCAACCACATGAACTTGTTTAGCATGAGCATCTCCAAAGCCTACAAGGTTTTTCAGATATTTAGGTGTGTATGAGGAGGGATCTTAACACGTCTTAGTTTTCGTCTTTTGTCGAACGAAAACTCTTGATCCAACTTTGTAAAACTGGGTCACATTTGCCCTCACACGGAAGCATTCATGTTGTTTGAAGACAATGATTTTGCAAGCTTCTGGGCCAGTAATTTTAAACTTAGAGATTGGTTGGATGTGGTGTCCAGGAGATTCTGCGTCTAACTCGTGAACTTTATTCTTCCGAGATTCCAGTTGTTGTAAAAAAGAAAAAACATAATGATTCATGTGCTTCGACAAGAATTTCACTACACTAGGTAATTTACCACATCTTTGGGCAGAATGTGGTACAACATTTGTGATGGCACTTTTAAAACAATTTAGCTCACTCATTTGTTTAATCATGTGATAGATCTTCTGCTTGCATTGATTCAGCGGATGGCGCTGCTATTAATGTAACTACTGTCATCACTAGGGTCTTGAGAGCCAAAACACGCGGACCATTAGCTCTGGTTGCTCTATGAAAATGGAGGTACCAACGAATTTCAGGGACCCGGGGCTCTTCCCGACCGCAGGGGAAAAAACATAATGATTCATGTGCTTCGGCAAGAATTTCACTACACTAGGTAATTTACCACATCTTTGGGCAGAATGTGGTACAACATTTGTGATGGCACTTTTAAAACAATTTAGCTCACTCATTTGTTTAATCATGTGATAGATCTTCTGCTTGCATTGATTCAGCGGATGGCGCTGCTATTAATGTAACTACTGTCATCACTAGGGTCTTGAGAGCCAAAACACGCGGACCATTAGCTCTGGTTGCTCTATGAAAATGGAGGTACCAACGAATTTCAGGGACCCGGGGCTCTTCCCGACCGCAGGGGTTGGTGTTCAAAGGAACAGAAAAAAAAACAGTATCAGCAGAAACGTAGATTGAGGTAGGCAGTCTGTAACGTTATCTAGGGAATTTTCTCCATTATGCCGTTATTTTGATCAGTATAGGCAGAAGCACGACTTTTTAAAGCAAAATGCCGAGGGATTACTTCAACTTGTGTCTCAAAAATGTCACTGAGATCAACATCCGTGTTCACCGATCTGTTGTTTAGATCGATTTAAATTAGCATGAGCACGACAAACACGCCAAATCTAACATCAAGCAGTGAACTTACTTGGGGTATTCGGTCATTCTATCGTGACCTACGTCGGATTTGTCGATAGTTTCCTTTTGCAGTTATTTTAAAAAGTCTTGTGAAATAAAGTTTTCACCCTGCTCAGCCGACAAATTCGTCAAAGAAAACCTCAGGTTTTCTCTAAAAATCTGTTTTTGAGAGGTTTTAGACAATGATATTCTATCCGAGCAGGAATCAAAATGCATGGATTTTGAGGTACATAGTTAAAAGTTTTACCTTGTCCATTGTTAATGAAGTCCATTGTTTCATGACCAATGATAGTCGTTCGGCCGTCATTTGAAAGAACCTTTAAGTTTTTCTCCCCAACCGCAAGCTCAGTTTCGCTTGGCGTGTCGGGCACATTTCATGTCCATTTTACGCTAGGCAAATGGTATTTGTTGCTTACAGGAAGCTTTCAGCCCTAGAACGCCATGACTTTTGTTCAACGCAAGCAGTTTCAGTTTCGGACGCCTTCCCACGTTTTGACATTCATTTGCTCACTCTGCAAAAATTCTAGCGACATCGTCGAATTTTCATCCACGAAATAAATTTGGACGTATATGCGTTTCAGATGGATAGATGCATATAAGCAGCATCTAGTCTGACCGAAGTGGTGGCGTGTGGACTGATGAAACACTCCCATGAAATGGCCTTTTTGGTTCCCTAATAAATGAGTGATAACAGAATGAAAGCCAGACACAGCTCATTGTACATGTTCTTTGTAAAAGCAGTCTAACTGGATGATATAATAATTGACAGCATATTTACAAAAAGTTGAACTCACAATCAAACTATCCTTGATTCTATCCCGGTGAGAATACGGTAACCATTTTATTATCTAAATGCGAATAATTATTTACACCAAAATATACCTACGTTCAACAACTGGTTTGCATAGGAAAGAGACTGGAGTTGTGATAAGTGATACCGTAGATATATCTGGTAATCTTCGACGGTTACATCCTCCACGCCATTGTCCGAATTAGCTAAAATACCCTCTCTAGTCGAAGCAAGCCTATGAGCCCGTGAACTTGCGTCGAGATATTCGTTCGTCAAGTATCTGAAAATAGGACAATCCAGATTCTAAACGCAACATACTCAAGTCGATTCAGATATTCTGATTGAATAGTCTCTACGGCTGCAGTTGAGGAACAATAGCGCTTCCATCGCAGAAGATAGCCGTGTTTTAGAAGAACTATTTGATGAATCCTGTCAATAAAATACTAGACAGAAGGTAGAATAAAAACGGCATCTACCTGGTGCAAGAGAATCGGTAAAGTCTTCTCCGTAAATTCACGTTGACTACAGGCATCCAGTTCTTGCATCATCAGTTCTGCTTGCAACGTGATAGGTTTCGGTTCAAGTACTTGCAATGTGCGTTGCAAGATTAACTTTCTCTCTCGCCGAAAATAATCCGGATCTTTGGGAATGTATACAGAACTAAGTTGGATAAAATATACACTGTTGAAATCTTATTTCTACCTCATCCCTTTCGAAGGTATACCATGAATAAGCTCATTCTCCTCTATTTGTGCTCTGAGTTCCAGTATATCGGAACGCAAACCATCCTCCTGTGTTTTCAAGACATCCTCATCCTCATCCATCGTGCCTTATTGCTGCAAACTATTCTAACTAAGCGGGCTGTTGACAGCAGCAGATACCACGCGTTTCAAAGTCGTTTTCAAGGTCGCATTTTCAGCGGTCAGTACAGAAAACCCAAAAAATATATTTGGGTAGAAAGCCAAAGGCTCTTAAACTCAGACTGCCAAGCATCGCAGAAATTGCGATTCATATGCTGAGTGAATGGGATGGAAGATATATACCTGAACATTAGTGGTGAATTTCGAAAGGGATTTGCAAACACGTATTCCCGGATTTCACGGACTCGTGCACAGTCCCCACGTAGGACTTTTTCTTGTCATTCATCGGCTTCCATTCACCTGGATGGCACAAGCGGAAAAATGTGTAGCATTGTTCCTTGGCTTCTCAGTGCGGAGGCGTGCATACAAGGAGAAGGTGTAAAAAGTCATCCGCGGAACGTCAAGTGCTCTTTCGGGTAAATTTTTATTGGTGAAGTGAGGAGGATACATGTGAGTAGGGTGAGATATTTAAATCCCCTTTGTGCCGAAGTCTTGAAAAAGAGACTTGAAGAGCTCCAGTGAAGACCGGTGCCGGGAAAGGATAGTTTTGACCCACCCTCAATCGTAATGTTCTCCCTGAACGAGACCTCCTGAACAAGCGTTGAATTTTTCCTTGAATTCCGTAAGACTTGGGTTTGTGCAGCAGTGAAAGGTGTGGGACGCGATCAAATACCTTTGAGAAGTCAAAACTATGGCGTCTGAAACGAGTTCTTCGTCCTTAGCTTTGGTGGAGCTGTTTATAAATACGAGCATGTGCGCCGCAAGGAGGGGNTGTGCTGGGGGTATCAAGTTGTTGATACTAGATTGATTTAAGGTGTCCCGCTTCATAAAGCATTCCATTCCCTTGCACTGTGTGATATTGAGGACAACAATTCCGTGGTTGCCGGCTGATACGCGGTCATCATCCTTCTAGATTGGCGTAACAATCGCTTCCGTTCAAGCAGAAAAAATGTCGCCCTTTTCTAGCGACTGACGAAAAACCAAGTTGTTATGCTTTTCCGATGGCAGTAACTTTCCCTTGAAGATCCTTGGATGTCCCTCGTTTGGCATCAACGCGATGAATGGGTATTTCTCGTGCAGTAGTTGACGATTGCTCTCATCCATGAGGAACCAATTGAATGGAGGCTGATCGTATTTACGAAGTGGCAGGAGAGATGATGCAGTTCTGTCGACTGTGCTCTCGAAGCCGCCGGGAAGTAATCCAACACCGTCCTTAAAAAGCTCGTTTCAGTAGCAAACCACCATGGGCAAGAAGATATTCGTTGACTTGCACTGCTTAGAAAAGAGACTGTAGCTTGTATTGGAGATAAAGCTTGAAATAATGGTCCCAATATTTGGCTCGGAAAAGGCGCCGGATGTAGGACAGACGTCAACATAATCCGTAAAACTTGAAGGGGAGTTGGTTCATATACATCTCTTTGATCCCTTTCAAGGTGATTTGAATTATTTCCATCATTTGGCTGAACATCGTTCATAAATTTCTGGTGACGCCATCCAGCGAGGCGAAAAAGACCGGATTTCGGAACGGGGACGGAAAAATGATCATTAGAGAGTAATCAAATTACTGGCACTGGAGGAACTAAACCGTTATGGTAGTTTTATCTAGGGAGCCAAAGTACAGGAGAAGTGTGATCTCGTCTCCAATGCCATTGTGCTGATCATTGATTGGAGGGCTTGACATCCGGATTCAGGACGGTTCCGGCTCTTGTACATGGTACTTGAACTCTCTGGAACCTTAGACAAATAAAACTCAGCGGCTTTATTTGGGAGGAGAGTAAAAGAGAATACAGAGATAAGTAGTTGACGATCATTTCCTCTAGGGCCTCATGGCGTTGTCCGTCGAGTAAACGACCGCCATTTGGATTTCAAACTTACGTAGTCTTTCTACGGCGTAAGCGGCGAGAAGACAGACGAGAAAAATGCATTTGCCGGCTTTGGGAATAAGAGAATATGGAAAATACGGAAAGGGATATGAGATATTTGTGATAGTTTACAACTGAAACATTTATTTCCATATGACCAGAACGAGTTTGTCTGCCATGAAGATTTCGCAGAAAGTTTTGTGCCCCTTTTGACTTTACCGAGAACATCGGAACTTTAACTCTCAACAGCTCTACGTTTCTGGAATAATCTGAGTTTTCTTGTTTTTCTGGGGGGGGTTGGGCGGTTTGGAAGCCTTCGCAGGGGACTTAAGTCGGTTTAACTAATCCATATTGCCCTAGGTACTGACGTAAATAACCGTAGTATGCAGCTGTTATTTAAAAGCCCCTGGATTTGTTTTGGTAATGTTAGTGGTTGGGTGTTTGTAGGAATGTGAGTGTAGGGGCTTCAGTGATGTTGATGATAGCAACTCACCTTTCCCGTGAAGGGCTATACTAGAAAACCAGCCGTAATTCTAAAGTACAAGTTAATCGTAGACTGGAATCCTCAATGAACATAGGGCTGGTGTGCGACGATTTCATTCGTGGACCACCAACAGCACTGCAACTGCAGCCATTGCGCAGTTCGGTCATTACTGCTCAAAGGAAGACAGAATTCGGCCTCATCGACTCTCGCAAGGGAAAATGCGGCTGTGAAATAATGGTCGTTTGTCGCAGGAGAAAACATGTGCTGCAACCCTTCCACACAACGTTCACTGCGTTATCTTAAAGGGACTGGATTAAAACATAGGGTAAAAAGTGGGGGTGTGAAGCTGAACGGTGGTGTTTTGTGGCAGGATTTAGGGGTGGAATGAAGTAAAAGGGGCCATAAATTAACGCACCTTCTTTCAGAGTAGATTAGAGGTGGCAAAAAGCCCTTAATCTATAATTTAATGGTGATCTCTGCAAGCAAGAGCACCTGGATGATTATATGTTCCGGTTAACCTAAAATGCTACTGTGCTTGTATTTACATAGACCAACGACTCCATGTGGTGTGAGATCGCAATTTCATGTTCTGCAATCTCCAGGGGCAGCCAAAACTTGACGGCCATAGTCTGGTAAAGAGGCGTAAAGGAAATGGGTTTTGTCGACCCGGCAACCTTGTTCATTTTGCTGCCACAACTGAGGGGTAAGGCGCGGCAGGTGAGCTTCATCATAGGCCGTAATATGCAGGGTTATGGGTTGCTTTCGCCCACTGCGCAGGCGACAAGGTCTTACCAGGGACGAGGCATTAGGACCAGCTGGTTGGTATCAAAATAGATCAGGCTGTTTGCTGGGGAGAACCCGGGAACAATACGTTGCTCGTTAGAATGTTGCGTAATGTTGAGAGACGAGTAGTGGTTGAAGAGGGACGAAGTATACGAGCGATGGAAGTCGTGCGCAGGTAACTGCCGCATACGTTGACAATGGCGGTATACTACTCTATGGGGTATGCAATATATATTGTGTAGTACTAATTGGATCAATTTCCGCGCTGAAATCCTTTGCTTATACGGCATCCACACCATCAACGTTAGCGTTTTATCGGGGAATGGAGAAAACTGAGTTTCAAAAAGCATTTCACCTGAGGGATCATGTAACTAAAAAAGTGACAGCTAATAAGGTGTTGCAGCGGTTAAAAAAGAAGACAAATTAGACAAATTTTCAAAATGAAAACAAAATCTTCGCAACCTGTCCATCGAGCATGAGAGTAAAAAACAGGAGATCCGTTGCCCGCCTTGGAAATAGTTGTTCCTGTTAGTGTATTGTACCTAAAAAATGCACCTCAGGCGTGGAATTCATTCTGAATCAGCTCACTACTAAGTTGAGCATATTGTGTAGTTCTGCTTACTCTGCTATGAAGCGCGATGAGCAGCAGAAAGATCGCTTACTTTATCATAAATTTTCATATCATGCTCACTCTGAAATTATATCCATCGCAAACCAGCCCAGTCAGATTCGTTAGCCGAACTTCAACTCTGATCATTCACTGGCACATAAGGGAGCGGTACTTTTCACCTTGCGCTCGGGAAACTGAAAAATCAGTAAATCTGGCCAAATAAAAGCGAGATTATTCCAGATGAACGGCTCCTGGGGGACATTCGGCGCTCCAGCAGACTAAAAAACGTAAGCTTTAGCCTTATGGGGTCCGACTAAAGATTATACAATTTGATGCGGTTCGGAACACATTTTATCATTGAGCATCTGGAAAAATCTTTTGCTTACACCCAACTTTCACTGTTCGCATCAATCAATAGTGGAAAACTGATTTGCAAGGTTGCGCTCTAATGTTTTGACGGCCGTAAAACCTGTGTTTTAAGCACTTACTGCTGTCAAATGCGGTGAAATATTCGCTCAACTGAAGTTACATAATAGTGAACGTAAACACCCTAAGCAATTCAATTCGCAACCCCTATCAACCATGCTCTCACTCTGACTGTAATATTATGATCAAGCCCGAAGATATGCTACCTATTGGTTAGGAAGAAATATTATTATTATTATTATAAACTGGAGCACGACCTAGCTAACACACCACAAGCTTTAGATGATTACTTTCGGTTCAGTTTTTCACGTCGCACACATAGTGCTGCAGGCCTTAATATAAGTTTGTATACGTGTCCAATTACATCAGCGGTAGGTTACACAGAGTTCTTTTGATGGAACTTTGTAATCGACCTAAAAGTACCACCGGTCTCTGTTTACTACGCTCAGCGCAAAGCACAGAGCGCCGCTCTTACAAAAACCGCTGTCCTATTTCGTTGTTATTTGAGTGTACAGCACACTCACAAATCAGAATAACACTCAGTGATCTGTTCTGTCCTCATAATCTATAGGCAAACTCAGCTTGTCTTTTGGTGTCAGGCCAACCAACGGGAATCCAAACTTTACACTTGCTGCCATGTCCCTTTAGAATTTTTCTACGAATGACACCATCTATCGGTCACATTTACATACTCATCAACCTTTATTGATCCAATCTTCCCAAGCTTTGATTTTGGCAGCAGCTTTCCATTATGCATGCCATCAATTACGCCTTAATCTCGCCTTATGTCCGCATGGAC